TGCAGATGAGAGACCATTTATGTTAAGTTCATTATTGCAATAACTGATCCATGGCAGGAGCTAGTGATTGGTAGCTATGGTGCTGTTGTTATTGGGACAAGCTCTTTCAAAGCTGGGGACGTGTCCTCTCTGCACCTGTCAAAATGCCCTGGAGTTCAGTAGGTCTTGTTGAGATGGTGAATGAACGCCTGTGACCTTCCCGCCTTCTTACTTACTGGACCAGCTCCTGAGAGGCAAGAACATGCTTCAAACAGTATCTTTCATAAGGGTCAGCGTGAGGCTGAGGTCTTTGAGCAAAGACCTCTCACAACCGAAGAGGTAAAGGGGCAGGATGCACGTACTCTGTAATGGAAACCAGCGTCGTAAACAAGCGAAAAATTTCTTTAAATACCTTCTGAAAAGTTTCTGGTCTGTGGGAACCTTTTTGTGCTCCTTTGCTCACTGAGTTAGAATGTCAGACTCTCAGGACGCAGCAGTTGGAGGGACTCTTAACGGGTCAAGTCATCTAATCCCAGACCTTTCACGGACAGTAAACGAAAGAAGTCGGGGCGGAATTCTGCTGCGTTCAACGATAAAGACATTCCTTCATCCTGAGAGCCATGTAAATATACAGGAAGCCCGGTGACTAATGGGAGGTATTTATTTAGAAGGTTCCCCAATTATCTGTAGCTTGTACCCCACTATTCCCTCTCACGCTGGTGGTTTGGTCGAGCACTTACACAGACCGAGCGCTGCTCTCCCTTGCAGCAGCCGGAAAATAAAAGTGTATCAAGTACAGGCTGCTGCAACGCTGTGCACACATTTCCAAAAAAAGAATAGAAGATGATAAATCTGTCTTAGCCAGTCATAACAATAACAGTGACTGTCTTCGGATGGGCCATTTCCATTTACCCGTTTTCATGCCGCGTGTCAAGGGCGGTGTACGTGTTTCACGTCATTCTCCCGTCGGCTCTGTGAGGCGTAACCATTTGATCTTATAGACCCTGAAAGTGAAGCTCCGAAGGTTCGTTGATTTGCCCAAGGTCACATACTTACTTGGGTAGGGTCAGGATTTGAATTCGAGCCTGCCTCACTTCAAAATACCCTTTTTATTTTTTCAATGGAATATTTCAAACTTTTAGAAAAGCACAGCAACCGACCTATGACACGTCAGTATAACTGCCACCAAACCTCACTGAATTATTTGTAAAATGTTGCCATAATGACTTCGGATCTTCCTCTAAAAGAAAAGGAATGCATTTAGTAGAGGCACCCTGTCTGCCCGTTCCCTACCCCTTCCCCAGCTCCCCTTCTCTTCCCAGACACGGCTGTTATCCTGATGCAGTATTTGTCTCCCACGATCATATCTTTGTGCCATTGCTACTGATGCGAATGTCTGTGGACAATAGCACTGCTTTGCATTTTTTGAACTTCTATAACTGCTACTGTCTTGGGGTCGTTTTGCAGGTTGGTTTACTCAGCGTGAAAATCCAGCGATGTATTTACCGTTTCCCTATTGTTCCAGGTTCCTGCCACATTTTACGACTGCGAATGATGCTCCCAAGCGCATTCCTGTGCTGGTGTCTTTAGGCAAATGTGTGAATGTTTTCTGGGGTTCTCCTTAGAAGCCTAGAGTCTTCCCTTTGCCGGGTGTCCCACAGCCTGTGGTGAGTTCCTGAGCACTGTCGCCAGCCAGGGTCCTGGATGTGGGTCGCGGTACAGGGTTGGGAAGGAACAGGGAGGGTTTGCTGTTGGCAGCCCAGGTCTCTTGGGGAGAAACTTTCGTTTGCAGCTAAAGCAGCGGCTCCTGGACACAAGGAATAAAGAGACTGGTTTCTCCTTTGGCTCCATCAGCTGAAAAACTAATTTCACAAGGTTGACTTGGAGATGCTGGTACAAGTAACAGGAATGGACCGAGTGGAACAAGACACGTGGAAGAAGTTGTTTGGTACTTTAGGTCAGTCGTTCTTAAGCCATGAGCTCCCACGGAGGGGCCGCCCGGGGGTGCGCGTGGGGAGACAGGCAGACAGCAGCGCCCCGCCCCGTGCTTCCCCTGGAGCACCTCTACTCTGATTTACACATTGGAATTTTTCATAAGACTTTATTTCAGTAGACTATAGTAGCTAAATTTATTTTTAAAATCCATTTAAATATACAGGAAGACCGGTGACTAATGAGAGGTATTTATTTAGAAGGTTCCCCAATTATCCGTAGTTTGCACCCCAGTACGCCCTCTCACACTGGTGGTTTGGTCGAGCACTTAAACAGACCAAGTGCTGGTGGCAGTGACCCATGCACACCCCGTATTTCTGATGACATAGCAAATTGGGGGTCTGAATAGGTTAAGAGTAACGGTGATAGAATTAGACTGTTTGCTCCCCTGGTAGGAACGCCTCCGTGCCACGGTGACCCCAGGAAGATCGGCACTCAGGCTGCCGGCTGGAGAATCAAATAGGACCCAGGTCAGGAGGCGCCTGTGAACTAAGGGAGCCATTTGGGCTCGGTCTTGAGGGCAGAATCGAAGTGGCACTAGCAGGAAGACCAGGCGACCACCAAAGTTTCTGCCAGACTTGGACTCTCTTCTGTTAGCGATTCATATTTGTATAAAATCCACAGACTCTCAAAAGGCAACATTTTAAAATGTGAAGGAGAATCTACCTCGGAGTCATGTTTAAAAGCCAGATGAAAAGTTCAAACACACGTGAAATCTGTGAATTGAATTTTGGTTTTATTGAAGACCTTTAAGATCCATTATTTTATTTTATTTTACTTTATTTTTTTAGAGAGACAGAGAGAGAGGGAGAAGGAGGAAAGGATCCTCAGCAGGCCCCACAGTCAGCGTGGGGATCTTACGACCCCAAGATCATGACCTGAGCCAAAATCAAGAGCCAAAAGCTTAACCGACTCAGCCACTTAAGTGCCCCAGGATCCATTATTTTTACAATTTTTTTTCTCCCAGAAAAATATGCCAATGGTTTACAAATATCATTTATCAATATTGACTCTATAATACAAGCAAACTTCCTTGCACGTAAAATACAAATACTCTATGATTTGAGTATTCTTGCTTTTTTCCAAAGTATCTTTTCCCGAAAATGATGGCAAAAGGACTTTGTTTGTTTTAACTCAACCCGTCTTTCGCAACCCAGCTTAATCATTTTACAAATTCCCTTTGGAAACAAATGGGCTAGATTGTGAGACAACTGTGGCAGATTTTTATCATTTCAATAGCATTTGCAAGAAATATCATTAGTGAAATTTGTGTATGAAATTTTCCTTTGTGTGACTTTTTTCTGATAAGTTCAGTACTAAAGTGTTGGTAAAGTAAAACCTTATTAATTCAAAGCAAGGAATGCCAGTGTGACCATAAAACATGTGAAGCATAAAAAAAATATTTAGATAAATCTGTTTTGTTACTTTAGAATAGAGTACCTAATCATGGTCTCAGGGTCCTGGGATCGAGCCCCGTGTCAGGCCCTGTGCTCAGTGCAGAGTCTGCTTGAGATTCTCGCTCTCCCTCTCCATCTGCCCCTCCCCACCCCTACTCTCACTCGCTGTCTCTCAAGTAAATAAGTAAATCTTTAAAAAGAATAAAATAAAATAGACTACCTGTTATATACTAAGGGAGAAATGAGAACAGGTAAAAGGAAAGTTGTATATAAAAATTTTTCTAGGGGATCCCTGGGTGGCTCAGAGGTTGAGCGCCGGCCTTTGGCTCAGGTCCTGATCCCGGGTCCTGGGATCGAGTCCCCCATCGGGCTCCCCGCACGGAGCCTGCTTCTCCCTCTGCCTGTGTCTCTGCCTCTCTCTTTCATGAATAAATAAATAAAATCTTAAAAAAAAATTTTTCCTAGTGAAACACGAGACATAAAGTCTCAAAGATCAAATTTTATTTCACTCTATAGTTATTAGACTCATTTGTTATAGGAAGCTTTGTTTTTTTTCAGTTCTTGCATTAAAATGATTAAAATCTTCATTGGAAGGTACATACATGAATTTATTCTTTTAAAAAAGATATTCTCCATCAGAATGAATGCGAATTTTGAACCCGTGTGGTGCTAATTAATAGATATTGGAGGATATCCACTCCCTACTAAATACGGAAGTATTTGCGGGGCTGTCTCCGAGAGAGTGATGCCGGCGTCTTCAGCACGGCGATGTCATCCCCTGTCCCGGGGTCTCCTCTACCTGATGCTCAGCTTCCTCTCTAGCCTGGGACCGACCAAGGGGCCCTTCTATAGAACGTCTATGCCGATCCGTCTTATCCCTGCTATTTCCAACACCGACGACGCAGCCACTGCGGATTTCACTTGGAAGCCTACCTGGTGAGCCCCGTCTAAACCGGACCCATCCTAAACTCCCTCACTCTGAAACGGAGTCCAGGTGGGTCTCTGCCAGTGTCCGAGTGGACCTACCAGAGGTGTGCTCGCAGGTGACCCATCGGAGCGAGTGTCCTGGTCAGGAGGGGAAAGGCCGAGGTCCGAGGCTTGGTGGCTCTGGCATGGAGCCGTTCATGACGGTGCCTAATTCCCATGGCAGAATAGCCTTATTTGTGTGAATCAAAAATAAATCTCTAGATGTAAATCCCTAAAAAATACCTCCTCCTTTTACATCTGGGCACTAAAGGGTGTCTCGGTTCTGATTTTATTTCCCCTACTTAGCAGTCCCTTTTTCTGACATTAATAATTAGCCAGTAAACTAACTTACCCAAAATCTTCAAGCTCAGTTTACTTAAAAAGGAGAGTAGCTTCAAGAGGTTACATCCATGGTTTGCTGCTGCCTCCAGCCATGGGCCTTTGGGGCATACTTTGGTTTTTGATCTTTCTAGGTAAAAGTTGGGGACAGGAGCAAACGTAAGTAAACGAACCCATTTTCATTTTTCAATGCATCTTAGTTGCGATGAGTGAAAAATAAATTGAACAGACGGTTAATTTGAAAATAACCTTCTACTTCCTAGAACACCAAGTGAATGGTCTCATCTGTGAATGAGAAAGTCATGGAAACATCTTGATTTGATGAATGGCTAATAATACGCCAGCTTTATGAGGCTGTTATTTATAAAAATTTACATAAGGGAGTATGTGGATTCCTCTTCAAAAAAAAGCACAAAACAAACTCAGGATCCTACCCTTCCCTGCCATTGATTGCTTACTTGTATTTGGTACACAGGTTTCTTCGTATGTTCCGGGCACTGTACGTAGCACAGCAAGTGTTACTTTGGGGTCAATTTTAATACTGTGATTTGAAAAACGATCATAATTATTTCTGAATTTATTAACTCTTCACAAATTTTAGTGTGATTATTGAAATATTGCGCATTTCAAGGTATGTCTTAAAATACTGATTTTGTATCTAGAAATAACAACTTAGAACCGAAAAGGAACTGGAGAGTATGTAATGGAGTCTACTCATTTCACAAATGAGGATAAATCCAGACAGAGGGGAAAGTGACTTGCCAAAGATCATGCTGCTGGAGGGGGACAAAAGCAGGGCTTTTTACCAAGGACTCTTTGTTACCACTTCAATTTTTTTTCATTTTGCCATAAATATGTACGTAAAACTAGGTGAAATATAAATATAGATGTATACTCAGGATACCAAATTTATAACACTCTCCCACCCTTGATCTGATCTTTGCACGGGCCACAATCACCCCATTCCCCAGGTGGTGGTTGTAGATTCCTTTTTAAAAGACAAGTAGCAGAAGTTCAAGAAAGATCGAGATTAGGGAGTTCAAAATAGTGCAGAACTAGGACTAGAACCTGGGTCCCGTGATTCTCAGTACTTTCTCCTCCGCTGTGCTGGCCCTGAGTAAGCATCTCCTCTCTTTCTCTGAAGAAGTGCCGTGTACAGCATGGCAACCAATTTAATTAATTTGATTGACTGATTCAACAAAAACTTGTTGAGCACCTGCCCTGTGACAGGCACTAGGGATATGGTAGATGGTATGAAGCTTGCATTCCAGGGGGAGAAGCAAATAATGGGTGGATGAATGAACCAAAATGAATAAATGAATGAATAAGGTCAGTCGGGTGGTTATTATGCAAGGAAGAAAAACACAAAGGAGTCAGAGGGTAAGGAAGTGATGGGGCATTACCCCAAACTGTAGAGAGGAGAGGATCTTTAAGGAAGTGACACTCAAACAGAACTCGAAGGAAGTGAGGGGGGAGCAAACTATGCAATATCTGGGGAGAAAGAACATTCTAGGAAGAGGCCAAAATAATATTGTTGCCTCTGCAAGCTCAGTGGCCCAATCCTCTTAAACTATCGAAAGAAAATAAGAAAAGTATACTATATTTTTTTAAGTATGATTTTTTTTCATATGAATAGATTGTGGTACTGATAAACCAGTAAGGACCAAAATCTGTATGAAGGGTGATTCCAGAGCCATCTTTTAGGAACTTCTAAGTACCGAATATTTTATGTTTTATCACTGCCGCCACCACATGGACAATTCAAAATTAAAACAATATTTTTTTTCAGTTTCTTCATCTTTTTTTTTATTTTATTTTTTATAAATTAATTTTTATTGGTGTTCAATTTACCAACATACAGAATAACACCCAGTGCTCATCCCGTCAAGTGTCCCCCTCCGTGCCCGTCACCCATTCACCCCCACCCCCCGCCCTCCTCCCCTTCCACCACCCAAAATTAAAACAATATTAAACTGAAAAAAAGATACAACTTATAAGAATGCTGAAATTAAAATAGGTTTTTTCCCCCTAGAGTTTTCGGATTGCAAAGCTCTTGCTAAGTCCAGTTTAGTCTAGCAACTGGAATTGTTAATTCAGGAAACAGACTGCGTGGGTTCAGTTCCTAACTCTGTAACGTAACTGTGTGACCTTGGGCTGCTTAATTATCAGTCTCTTCATCTGTAAAATGGGAGTAATGATAAGACCTTTCTCACAGAGTGGCTGTGGCAGTTCAGTGAGTTTATATATCCAGGGTCCTTCAAACAGTGCCTAGCACAGGGCAAGATTTCGGGAAATGTAGCTCATCAGCAAAGCTTAGCTTTTCTCCTTTTCTGCTGTTCCTGGGTTACTCTGCGAGGACTTCAGATGATGGTTGGAAGTCTGGAGATTCTTTTCCCTCTTCTACAATTTGTTTATAAGTGATTCTAAATTACTTGTCACAGAGGAGACAGCCAGATGTTTTAAAGGGACTTAATTGCTTCCAAATTAACTTCCCTGTTCCTGAAGATCTGCTGACTTTTTAGCGTCACGAGTTCACAAGGGCCTGCAGGAACTGTGCAGGGGGCAGTGGCGCGGGGCCCAGGCCTGTTCAGCCACCTGGATTAGTCACTGTGACCTTTTGGGCTGAAACACACTTCTCTCTTCCTATGTAACAGCACCTGTAGCTCTCACTGTTCAAATTAGGTACTTCCATGATATTTAATTAATAAGCTCGTTAATACTTTTAGGTTTTCTTTTAATGAAACAATGAAAATCACACGTTTTTAAAATCTTATTTCAAAGACTTATATACATTGATTTCCATTCTTGTATAAATCACATGAAAAATGAAACTGGGAATAAGAGCCTATGGATGTGAACATAGCTTATACCCTTGACCTCAATCATACACGTTAACGACCGGGAGAAAGACCTGAATATTAGGTGCTGCCTCATTCACTTATAAGGCATGTGACCTTGGTCAAATTATCCTCTTTTCACTTGCAAACTGGGAGTAATCTTAGTGTCTACATCACTGGCCTGTTGCCAAAATCAAGAGTGGAATACCGAGGGCTCACGCGGCCTCTCCGTGGGCACTTAGCAGCATCATCGCCGTCGTCTACGGTTGTTACCATTCTTCAAAGACCCTCCACACTCCTTGCATTTCTAAAGCCATCCCGAGCTCACTCTTACCGTGTCCTTTTTTTTACCCACTCAGCGTAACACAATACTTCTAAGATAACTTCCTTTTAACTATTTAGTGAAATTAATGCATCTTAACATTTCCCGAGTGGGAAGCATGCTATAGATGTTTTCATTTACGTGTTCCCACTTCCTCCTTACTGCAAGCTGGTCAAGAAGGTGATTTTTTCCACAGGTAAATCATTCTGGTCTTAGAAACACTATGTGACTTTATCGTGGCCCCTCAGCCAGTAGATGACAGGGCTGCAACTCCAGCCCTGGGGCCTTTTGCCCCTTTTCTTCATTGAGCAAAAACGTTGGCCCTATTTGCATGTTCCAGTCAACAGCGCTGAAAGTCTTTCTCTGCGGCAGCAGCTCAGGCAAATTGTTGTTATTTCTAAATGTTAGCTAACTCTCCAGTTCTGTTTCTCAAGCCTTGATTTTAAGCTACTTCCTCTTCTTAAAGAAGCTTCTACTTCTTTAAATCAAGTAAGTTTTGATTTAAAAATGATCACTTTTAAGAAAATCTGCCTATTTGAATCTCTCAAGTGAGATGAAAAAATCAGAACTATAACAAAACACATCACCTTCAGGTATTGGTCTTACTCTTTTCCTATTCCAACAGGTATGTCATCTCAGCACCAAAAGTATTCCGTGTTGGAGCCTCTGAAAACGTTGTAATTCAAGTTTATGGATATACTGAAGAATTTGATGCAACAATCTCTATTAAAAGTTATCCTGATAGAAAATTTAGCTACTCTTCAGGCTATGTTACTTTATCCCCAGAAAATAGATTCCAAAACAATGTGGTCTTGACGGTATGTGTTTATTATTCATTTTCTTCGTACGTACAGAATATTCTCAATAAAATGTGTACCAAGTTTGAATGTTGATAACGTAGAGATCTGGCCATTTATATCCCTCACCACTGTGTGATTATTAAGTGATGTCAGTCACCAATGATAATATGGACGAAACAGAAAATTCTAAATAGGAGAGTTGTGTCTACTTTTTGAGCGATGCATGTAAATTATAATGTTCATATTGGAAAATAAAATTATACTAATGCAAAAACACTTGGAAATGAATTGAAAATGCTTATTCTCTCTGAAAATTATCATTATAAAGAAATAGAAAAATACAAATATGCATCTTGATCTGTAATGCATCGCCTACAAAAACCCAAGGATGCAATTAAACGTTTGTTAGTTTAAATTCTAATATTGGTCAATTATTGCTTCCAAAACTAATAAAAATATTGATTACTAAAGTGAACAGCTCGTCCTGACAACCTGTAGTTAACATAAAGAACAATATGGATCAAATAACTTCTCCTTCTATTAAGACTATAGTGTACCTTGGTTAGAGAAGGGCTTGCAACACATCTCTTATTTAAAATCCGAACAAAATATTATTTTCATACTCAGAATACTGTTTTAAATTCTGATATAAGTTCAAATATAAAAACCCAGAAAAATCAAACACTACTAGACTTAGAAGGGCCTCTGAGGTTCATTTAGACCAATGTTTCTTTAAAGTGAGCTCTTTAGAAAGAAATTTAAATTTTAAATTTTAAAACAGCTGAAGATTAGAATTATATTGATATTTAGTATTTTGAATTTATTTTGTGAATTTATTTTGGTTTTATAATTGATTATGTAAAACTCATAAGGAGAAGAAGATTACACCTAGTCTTAGGTTTGTACGTATTTAAGAACCTTTAGGGCAGCCCAGGTGGCTCAGTGGTTTAGCGCCGCCTTCAGCCCAGGGTGTTTCCTGGGGTCCCGGGATCAAGTTCTGCATCGGGCTCCTGTGAGGAGCCCGCTTCTCCCTCTGCCTATGTCTCTGCCTCTCTCTCTCTCTGTGTCTCTCATGAATAAATAAATAGAATATTTTTTAAAAAAGAAAATTTATAATAATAATTAGTTTTTATTATATTATAAATAATTAGAAATCAGCACTGAGAATCCTCCAGAACATTTCATCCTTTAAAAGAGGTCTGTGTGTTACTCAAGTTTGAGAAACACTGATCTGAATAAATTCTAACCAAATGCAAGAATTTTCGCATGTATGTTCTTGATTGTAAATGCTCGAATTTCTTAAATACTTCCACCTACTAGATTACATTAAAATTAATTTTCCGATTAATTTCAGTGGACACTCTTCTCCGATGTCACTAAGATTTTTAGTGTGCTGTTACTTTTAAGTTTAAATAAATCAAATTTAACTACAATAAAAAAATTCAGTTCATGACTCATAGTAGCTCCATCCAGGGGCTCATGTAACCACATGTGACCGGCAGCTGCTGTGTTGGACAACGTAGATATTGAAAGTTTTCACCATCGTAGAAAGTTCTCATGTCTCGTGGAGACTCAGATAATCAATTGAAAGATTAAGTAGAGAATCAAAACTTGAGGCCTATCTTTACCACTTGATTTTTAAAAAATATTTATTTATTTATTTATTTATTTATTTATTTATTTATTCATGAGAGACACAGAGAGAGAGGCAGAGACACAGGCAGAGGGAGAAACAGGCTCCCTGCAGGGATCCCGAGGCAGGACTCAATCCCGGGACCCCAGGATCACGCCCTGGGCGGAAGGCAGGGGCTCAACCTCTGAGCCACCCAGGGATCCCTCAGCACTTGATTTTATCTCAACCTTATAACATATCTTTGTTTGCCAATTGTCTGAGGTTATGCCAAGGCCTTTTCTGTAAGGAGGGTCCCCTCGTTGGAGGGTCACATCTTATTTATTTCAAGTCATACCTTTAATGAATCATTTTTGTTCACAGTTTCTGTTCCTTTAAAGTGGAGAAAGATTTAAAGACACTTGCAGGGCAGTCTGAGTGCAGCATCTCCCTAGGTTGTTACCTTCTCCCAAACTTTGACAGCGTTCTCACACGTTTGGCTCCACAGCAGCTGGTTTTAGTGATTAACTTGGATCCCATGTTTCCAAAGCCTGAGTTTTCATAGAAACACTTTTTTTTTTAAATTACTCCTTATGTATTATATGTGTATATCGTGCAATGTAAAGTGGATAATTACAATTATGCACGTGAGATGAGAAAGCATGCGGCTCAATCAGTGGGAGGAGAGGGATGGAGATAGAGTACAACGTGTTCTGAACATCAGTGAGGATGTGGAACTGAGGGAGTGGACGGCATGAGCTCAGTGCTGATGGAGTGAAAGTTTGTGAAGAAGCTTCAGTAGGAGTAGTTTTACTAAATATATATAAAATCTAGGAAAGGGATTCCTGGGTGGCGCAGCGGTTTGGCCTTTGGCCCAGGGCGCGATCCTGGAGACCCGGGATCGAATCCCATATCGGGCTCCCGGTGCATGGAGCCTGCTTCTCCCTCTGCCTGTGTCTCTGTCTCTGTCTCTGTCTCTCTCTGTGACTATCATAAATAAATTAATTAATTAAAAATAAAATAAAATAAAATAAAATAAAATCTAGGAAACATGGAAACTAAAAGACTTAATTGCTTAAAGCTAAATATTGACTATGATATTTGACACTGACAGGCTTTGGGTAGAATTTATTCACTATTCTGGTTTTCGTACTACTTGTTAAATGGTTAAATACACATACTCATTTTTGTTGTTGTTGTTGTTGTAATGAGATGACCATGGTGTTAAGAAAATCAACATGTTTTATAACCTAAAAATCATACTCTAAAACGTCAACATTTTCTTTTACAGATACAACCCAAACAGTTGTCTGGAGGACAAGGCCCAGTTTCACATGTGTATTTGGAAGTTGTATCGAGGCATTTTTCAAAATCAAAAAAAGTGCCAATAACGTATGACAACGGATTTCTCTTTATTCACACAGACAAACCCATTTACACTCCACAACAGTCAGGTAGGATATAAGATGCTTCTTTCTCTGGTGGAGAAGAGGGGTGATTGACATATTGTAGAGATTTTCAACACTTAAAATTAAGTGGAGACAAGTTTCTAACTTGCTCAAAGAGTCTCAACTCCCAATGACTTTTACACTTATAAATAGCATTTTAATTTAAAATTTGTATAGAAATTGTGAAACGAGCAATTGATTTATTTTTTTTGAAATGAGCAATTTAAATTTTTTTAATTAATTAATTAATTTACTTATGATAGTCACAGAGAGAGAGAGGCAGAGACACAGGCAGAGGGAGAAGCAGGCTCCATGCACCGGGAGCCCGATGTGGGATTCGATCCTGGGTCTCCAGGATCGCGCCCCGGGCCAAAGGCAGGCGCTAAACCGCTGCGCCACCCAGGGATCCCTGAAATGAGCAATTTAAACTTAAATATAAATTTTAAATGCATATGGAAACTACAAAATCAACAATTATATTATCTGTCCCACTGGTTATTTCCGTGAAGAGAAAAGCTTTTTAAAAATCGTGAAATGTTGCGTTATATCTTATTCATTAAACAAACATAAGATGTAATTGCAAATATAATTTTGGCAACGTGAAAATAATTTATTATAGAGCCATGTTCATGTTTAAAAAATAAAAAAGGTTCCTTGGGCTTTGGAGCTATTCCTCTAATTCAGAAAATAAATCCAACCCTAAGGGATCAGAGGTTTCGGCAAAGAATAAGCTGGGTCACAGAAATAAGTGGATATTAGTTTTCTAAGGGGACCTACCTAAGAAAGTTTCTAATGGAAGATGTTCATGTCCGTAGTTCTGTTGGTGGGAGAAACGGCAGGATGGGGATAGCGGTCGGGCTGTGTGATTGAGACACGGCTGGACGGATTCCCAGTGAGCCAAAGGGAAAACCCAGTGAAGTGTAAAAGCTGCCCACACACGGTCACTTGTGCGCAGGCGATTGAATCCTGAACCTCCCCGGCTCACAATCACTGTGGGGCACGTCAGGGCTGGAAGAGGACACAGTGGGGGCCACGTAGGGAGCTTCCCAGTGCTAATGGGGCCGGGAGGCAGGTGGACTCCGGAGACCCTTTCCCACGGTGCATCCCTGCTACCTGCTGGTGAGGGTGCAGGTCGAGGGACAGAGCGGAGGGGCCGCGCGGCAGCAGGAGCTCCTGTTCCAGGCTCGGAGTGGGAAGGCCCCGAGGGGAAGGGACGTCGCTCAGCTTGACCACGCTGTCATTGCCGGAGCAGAACCGTCTCTGACCCCAGGAGGACTCGGTGTGCACACGGAGCCCGTGGGCCCGGGCCCGTTAAACCGCGATCAGCCCTAGAAGCTAGTGCATGTTTGGCCGCATCCTCCTCTTCTATTAAAGGGCGAATTTAGAAGGTTGGAGACTCTGGAGCCAAACTGCGTCCAGACCCCAGCTTCGGCTGTCTGAGCTCTGCGCCGCTGCCCTTGTTACCCCTTGTTACTCGACCTCCCCGAGCCCCACTTTCCTCTTCTGTAAAACAGAGACAGTCAGAGAACCCCCCTCCCAGGACTGTGAGAGGTCGGTGACTTCACACGGGCCGAGCGCCCGAACCCGTGTCCAGAGCAGGGGAGCACTGGGAAGGTGCTTTCCCCTACTGTTTGATCTGTGGGACGGCACGGAGCCTTATTTACGCAGAAGAAGGAAAAAAATTACTTAGAAGTAGTTCTCTTAGAAATTGGTTAAACCTTGCTATCTGGAGCTCCCAGGTCCTAATCCACCCACTTAATCTGAAGATCCTTGGGGGATTTCTTTAGTATAAGCATCTTTAGGGTAAAGGCTTCAATCTCCAAGGCTTTGAGGGATAAGGATTTAGAATATTGACCCAAATCCTCCAATTCTATGCAGTCTGTGTCCCGCTTTCCCTCCACCTTTATCAGTCACCATCTCCCCGTCGTCTGTGGAAACCAGCCAAGCTGACCTGTTCTCGTTGCCTTCTCACTCTATCCCTCCTCGCTGCCCCCACGCGAGGCCTGGTGCATTCACCCGCCAGCCCCACCTTGGCCTTGCTGACGTCTGCTGCACCCTTACGTGTCACCGTGTCACCCGTGGAGCAGCCTGGCCTGGCCTCTCTGACGGCGCCAAGTCTCCCCCTTCTCTGCTCTTGGGAAGCCAGGCCGTGTGCACTCGTGTGCATGGGTTTGCTCCCTCCTGCACCCCCTGGAAGGCTTCCCTGGGTCGCCCCCCTGCCCTGCCTCCCGGTCCAGCACAGTGCCTGCACGGAGGAGCCATTCAATACATTTTTTAAAAGCCTAATAAGCCCTATCTGTGGCACCAGGGAATGCTCTTGATGTCGCCTCCGGCACACTGTTGCCATGAAGACAAGATGAATTTTCTTTTTTTTAAAAGATTTTATTTATTAATTCATAGACACAGAGAGAGGCAAGATGAATTTTCTTTTTATTTTTTTTATTTATTTTTTTTAATTTTTTTTAAATTTATTTATGATAGTCACAGAGAGAGAGAGAGAGAGGCAGAGACACAGGCAGAGGGAGAAGCAGGCTCCATGCACCAGGAGCCCGACGTGGGACTCGATCCCGGGTCTCCAGGATCGCGCCCTGGGCCAAAGGCAGGTGCTAAACCGCTGCGCCACCCAGGGATCCCAAGATGAATTTTCTAATCTCAACACAGACTGGGTTAGAAGGTAGATGAGTAGTCGTCATAGAAATAGTAATACTAAAACAAAAATAATAAGCATTTGTTGAGTGTTGTCATGCACCAGGCAGTGTGAAAGCCTTGTCTCATTTAGTTCTCATAACAGCATCAAGCAAGATGCGAGCCACTCTTTCTTACAGATGAGGGAGCTAAGATTCCGAGGGACGGAGTCCCCACCCCAGGACCCCAGGAAGTAGTAGGCGAGGGAGTGAAACCAAAGTTTTTTTTTTAATTTTTATTTATTTATGATAGTCACAGAGAGAGAGAGAGAGAGAGAGGCAGAGACACAGGCAGAGGGAGAAGCAGGCTCCATGCACCGGGAGCCCGATGTGGGACTCGATCCCGGGTCTCCAGGATCAGGCTCTGGGCCAAAGGCAGGCGCCAAACCGCAGAGCCACCCAGGGATCCCCAATACTGACCCTTTAAAAGGCGTATGGCTCCAGTTCAATTTTATTTTGCGAGTAAAGTTTTGGCCACGAAAGGACTTGAGCATCAGTAATGAATGTCAGAGAAATCACAGTATGTCACGCTGGAACGATCGGCACGTCCCAGGCAGCTAAGAGCTCAATTCTAAGCAGATGGCCGTTGGTGGAAAGGCAGGGACCTATTAGTGGGCAGAAAGAAACGGAGAGAACTAACTGTTCTTGAGCTCTTGCCGTTACTCATTTAACAATGAGGCAATAATGGTCGGATTCGGCTCAATGAATCTAACAAAACCACACAGTTCAAAGCTGCCTTCAGCGACAATAAGGGGCACTTTGGGGCCTTGCTGGTTTTTCTACGCACAAGAGTGTGTAATTTTCAAAATCAAACTGATTTTCCACTAAAACCTACAATCCTAATAGGAGACAATATATTATATTCCCGTATAACCATACGGTAGCGATCACTATTTTGCTATAATGAAATTCTCAGTAAACAATGGCGTAATGTGTGTTCCCAAAAAGTTGTATGGAAATATGACCTAATAAACTGGACTCTACTTAAATCCACTGGGAAAAAATGACTCTTTAAAGGAATCCAAGAGGATTCCCTTCAAAGGAAAATAATCTTTAGTAACTTATATGTCTGTAACCTAAGTTTTTCTTTCCTTTAAATATGAATTTTTGTGCATTGATTTTTGTGACTTTTAAAAAATTATACTCATCTCTTTTAAGGATGATCATTGTAAAAAAAAAAAAAGAAAGAAAATCAAAATACCCCGTGTTTAGCCGAGGTTTTGATGCTATCAATTGTTCTTACAGTAAAGGTTAGAGTTTACTCACTGAATGATGACTTGAAGCCAGCCAAAAGAGAAACTGTCTTGACTTACATAGTAAGTATGGTATTTATTTAAATAACAGCTTAACTCGTCCTCAGGATAAGCTGCATGGTCCCCTAACCCTGCCCTACCGTCACACTAACTCATCAATGTTGGGTCAACGGTTATTTAACATCTTCTGTAACATTTGAGTCTATACCTCTACCACAGATACATGCAAAAAGCTCGTGAAAATTACCTTTCCGCAAGTTATGACTTTGAATGAAATCCTTTATATCCTTCACTATTTCTTTCCTAAAGAGCATCCATCAATTGCTAAGAATTGGCTGAATGTTAATCATTACGTATGAGATTTTTGGTTTGTATAATTCAAGATAAAGCACCACAGTCTGGGCCCTTACACTCAGGAATCTCAGAGGTTAGTGACGTACTAACACATGTGAAAAATAGTGTCAGACGGTGAAATAAGGGTCAGCAGTTAGCAGCCCTTCAGCAGCTGTGACACGCATAACAGAGTGACGTGCACACGCGCAGCAAGCTCCCGAGGTCTTACCCAGTTCGTGTTACCACCCTGTATGGTTTCTGGGGGAAATAGCTGTGCACCTGTTAAGAGTCGGTTTATCACCTATGGTCTTTCCCTAAAGGCTGCAGCACCTTTTCTCCTGTGAACAACCCTATACGATGAAAACCTCCCCAGACCCCAAGTAAAAAGGGGAATGTACAGGGATGACCCCGAATGCTTTACAGCTCACGAACGCCACAGGCCCTCGCAGACTTCCACGCCCGACTATTTTATACCGAGTGACGTGAGTGCGCCGAGGCTGTGGTTGATAACTGCAGCTCCCCCCACGAACCCCGGCGACCCAGAAGAGGTTAGGGAGGCCCAGGGACACGTCAAGGCAGAGGTGACCCTGGAGCTGGGCCTGGAACAATGAGTAGAACTGAGAGCGGAGGAGGAACAGGGGCGGGTTGCGGGAAGGGGGGGCCAGAGAGGCCAAAGGGGGTCGGAGGGGGGAAGCCACCCGACCGCAGAGCAGGGGTGTCCCCGCGAGCCCAGGGCCAAGATTTGAAAGTTAGACCAGGGCCAGACAGTCGGACAGGCGGGCCTGGACGCCAGGGCTCCTGGGGCAGGCTGTAGGGAGTCACTGAGGGCCTGGGGCCTGGGGCCGCTGAGGGACAGGACCCAGGAGTCACTGCGGGGCTGCTGCAGAAGAGTCTGGAAGCAGGGGGAGGTGGCTGCTCAGCAGGGCAGTGCAGGGGGCGGCCTCAGACTGCCCGGGTGAGTCGGGGAGGGTCGCGCTGAGCCCCGGGAAGCCCGTGGGGCTGCCGAGGTCACAGCAACGGTCTGCGTGTGTCCACTTGTCCTAAAGCTGCGAGGCCTTTCCTCCGAACCCAAGATCAGAGTGTAGTGTAGACACACCCACTGAGGGTGCTGGGGGGCCGAGCCCCCAGCGCAGGCAGCTGGGATCTGGTGGGACAGACGTGTGGCTCAGAGAGAGCAGAGCGGGCTGCGGGGCTGACGCCCACCTGCCCTGGGGCACAACTTGTGTCGTGTTGTGGGTTTTTAAGATGCAGGCAGAGGGAGAAGCAGGCTCCCTGAGGGAAGCCGGACACAGGACTCGATCCGGGACCCCGGGGTCATGCCCTGAGCCAGAGGCAGGTGCTCCCCCGCTGAGCCCTCCAGGCATCCCTAGAATGGGTTTCAATTAAAGACATAGACACGGGGTTTTAAAAAATAGTGAAGACCGTCCTATTAAGAAATAGCATCAGTTTTCCAACTGCAGCAGGAAGGTCTTAAGAAGTGAGATAGCAAATAAAGTGGCTGAATGGTATAGGGTATAGGGTACACGTAATGGTATAGGGTATAGGTAATGGTATAGGGTATAGGGTACAGGTAATGGTATAGGGTATAGGTAATGGTATAGGGTATAGGGTATAGGTAATGGTATAGGGTATAGGTAATGGTATAGGGTACAGGTAATGATATAGGGAATAGGTAATGGTATAGGGTATAGGTAATGGTATAGGGTATAGGTAATAGTATAGGGCGATGAAGGGAATGAAGAAGACCATCAGTTCACACGCCGTTTTTCTGTCAGAAAATACTAGAGGATGTGGACAGATGCTTTTTATTTTATTTCTCCTGGCTGAGCTTGAGTGATGAAAAACCCTGCACCACACAAGGAAGAGTGGACCGTGTGTGAGCTGCCCCTAGGAAGAGAGGATTGAGGCATCTGACCCCAGAGCCGCAGGGAATCCCGATACAAGAAGCACCCTGGAAACCATGCTCAAGAGAGACCATCTGGGAAGGACTGTGCGTGATCGACCGCAGGGATGAAGAACGGCCTCCAGAAGACGTTAGCTGCGAGCCTCATGCTTGTGCAGAATAGACCTTTGTAACTCGAGGGAAAATACCTTAAACTCCCGGCCACGAATTGCACAGTCACGGCACACGGTGCTGCATTCCCCGGGCTAGAGTCGCCCTGACCCTACCTGTCGTGCGAAGAAAGTAAATACCTGGTCTGGCTCATTCTCAAGCCTACACACAAAGGGGCGTCTACGGGGAAGCTTTGCGAAACCTCTCAAGCTTGGTTAACCTTCCCGAGTGTCTCCTCGGGCTCACGGTGCCCACGGTTCACAGGTAGAGAGTGCGCAGCCAGGAGAAGCGTTTCAGGGGGTATTTGCTCTGGAGAGACCTCAACTGAACAGATGCGAAATTTAGATTCTGGGGTCTGTAAAGCCTGCAGGTTCACATCTGTTTGCTTAGAACATCAATTATTGTTACATTTGCCTTTCTAGTGACACAGTAGGAAGGGGCTTCTGGATAATTGAGCAAGGCTGTCCCGGGGCGCTCAACAATGCTCTCCCCTCCCGCTCCCCTCCTCCGGCCTCCCCCCTTCCCTTCCTAATCCGAAGATGTAGATATTTGTCAGTAAACACTTCCGTAGGTCAAAGATAACATAATCAGTTGTTTTTTTACGTGCTTGAGGTTGTTTGTTTTTATTCAAAGGATCCCGAAGGATCAGAAGTGGACATCGTAGAAGAAAATGATTATACTGGAATCATCTCTTTTCCTGACTTCAAGATTCCATCGAACCCTAAGTATTTTATTTTTTTTTAATTTTTTATTTTTTTTTTAATTTTTTTTAATTTTTATTTATTTATGATAGTCACAGAGAGAGAGAGAGGCAGAGACACAGGCAGAGGGAGAAGCAGGCTCCATGCACCGGAAGCCCGATGTGGGATTCGATCCCGGGTCTCCAGGATCGCGCCCTGGGCCAAAGGCAGGCGCCAAACCGCTGCGCCACCCAGGGAACCCAACCCTAAGTATTTTAAAGTATTTATTGCTAAAATCTTCTCTAGAAAGCACATCTAGACCTTTGGGTTGTGAGGCAGATAACCAGCCAAGTGCAGCCATGGGTGACACCAAGGGTGTAAGAAGCGAGGGCGCGTGGGGGGCGCAGAGACCTCGTGCGGCGCTGTCCTGCGTGCTGACACGACGTGACACTGGAGCTCACCCACCGGGCTGCAGGCACGATGAGATGAGTAAGAGTAGAAAGGCCCGAAAACTCTCTAAATAAAAAACGAAAAGGACACGATGTAAGATTGAACATTAAAAAAAAAAAATTAAGTCTAATGAGAAGTGAGGCCCAGTTTCTGGCAAACGACAACCCCCCGATACTTCCCGCCAGCCCTCTCTATAGACAGAAATAAAAGTTTGGCCGCGGCAAGAACGGTCCCCGGGCTTTTCTTCATCATAGAACCACCGACCCTCTACCCTTCAAGGGATCTAACGGACGGTCAGTCCAAAAGCCTGGCTGGCCCCCGCCTCGCTCTGGGGGTGACGATCCTCCGTGGTCTGTCTGCGTAGACTCCCAGAGGGCAGCGTCCTCAGAGCCATGTCGGGTTTCGGCCTCATGTTGAAGGATTTGAGGACATGTCTGGACAGAATTCAATATGATAGGTATTTGGTGAACACATCCTGGCATGTGCAAGACGCATAGAAGTGAGTGACCCCATCCCCGCCTCCAAGGAGCTCGTAACGGGCGGGACAAACAAGTGCGTTCGTGAGTGGTTGACCCCGTGAGCCAGAATCTCCTCGCGGTCATTTTTCTGCCCTCTGGAAGGGAGTCTGCAGTTCATTTGCTGTTTGCGGGGAATTCACGGAGGGTTTTCTAGAAATTACGTGAGCGAAGTTGGGGATTTACTTGTAAAATTGTAGACTCCTTGGAGATACTACGTGCACATAGCACAGAATTGCTCTTACCGTTTTGTGACTATTATCATTTATCCGACCATTACCCAACTTTATCTTATGCCATTTGCTCCTTGACAGATTGTGTGTCAGACATGGTGGCCGCTCATGATCACTACTTTGCTACCCCAGTACCTTTGCACATGTCGTCCCCTCTGGGCTTCACCTTGCTCTTCACAAGGCTGACTTCTTCTTATTCCCGAGGACACAGAATAAACGCTCCCTATTCAGAGAGGGTATTCCTAGATGCACAGTTTAATGTGCTCCCTCTCCCTTTAAAACTCTTCTATTATTGATTTACTTCACGGCACTCATCTCAGTGTCACACTTATTTGTTTGCTTTTTTTTTAATTTGCCTTTTTACTTTGTGTTGCTCACTGTTGTATCTTCAGCACTTTAACATAACAGGCCCTTGATGAATCTTCATTGAATTAATGATGATGATGAAAGTCATAATACTAAGTGTATTGATTGCATAACCAACATGCAAGATAAATATTATTTTTTTCATTGCACAAATGAGGTTAAGCAACTTGCCCAAACCCAATCTGCCAGTAAATGGTGAAGTAGGAATTGGAAACCCCATGAACTGTTAGCTCTACAAAGACAGAAATTCTTCTATTTTGTTCACTTTTATCTCCAGTTCTCACTCCAGTGCTCAGTAAATATTTTTAAATGAAGATTGTTCATCAAACTCGGGTCATTTTCCTCTTTAAACAAACCGTACTTTGTCTCTAACCTTAACTTGTTTTGTGTGAGGTGTGAGCTTTATCATCTGGATAAACCTGATGCGTTATGTGTTTCTAGAGATCTTAGTATGGATGTCCTACCATGGATTTTATTTTATTTTATTTTTTTTCCTACCATGGATTTTAGTATTATATTAGTATAAATATGGCCCAGGTTTAAGTTAGTCCTCAAGTTGCATAAACTCTTCAAATCAAAACTGTTGACTATGTTAAGACAAAGTACCTGAAGAAAATAATATATGAAAAACTCATTCCTAAGAAATTTTTAGTATCCCCCAAACACTCAATTATTTCTATGTTATACTTAAAGTTCTGCACAAATAAAATATATTACTTAGGCTAAATACATCTCTACTTACTTTTTCCTCATTAGAACAGGAGTTGATTAGATGTCCTCTGGACAAATTAAAAATATTTGATGACTTCTATGATTTTAAATATGTTGTCTCCACAGATACGGTGTGTGGACTATCCGAGCTAAATATAAAGAGGACTTTTCAACGACCGGAACCACACAGTTCGAAGTCAAAGAATATGGTAATTTGTGGCAATTAAAAGTTTACCTGTAAAAAGTTAGTGCTTTTCCAGTAATGTTTCTCATTAGTGGACTGGACGCAGGATCACCCCGGACGACGATGACGCAGCTTGGCTGGGATGGTTGGAAGTACTGGCCGAGGAGGTGGGGGGACGCCCACGCTCAGTTCCCTTGAGCAAGCTCATCTGCCTCTCTGGACTCGTGTTCCTCATCATAGAGCCGGGAGGGACCCAGTGACCCATGGAGCCTGATGAGTTAACGTCCAAAATTATGATTTTAGGAGAAAATTAAATAGGCAGAGATGAGGTGAGCAGAACCCAGTAAGACTAACGATTTACTCAGGTCATTACACCCAGTTAGTGACAGAACAAGAACAGTTGGATTTCGTCCCCCTCGTTCAGCTCGCATCCCCCTCATTTTCCTTCTAGCTCACAAATCTGTGATATATTTATCTGAAGATTTAAGATATTCTTATTTTGAAATCAATCGTATTAATGGACTAATAATTAACATATAAATGGCTTATCTTTCCATTTCTTATAGTTGTTTACTAGAGCATTTGTGCATTCTGATATCAAATTTAACTTTCTTTTGTTTGTTTGAGGTCGTTTTTTATTCCTCCAGGAGATTTATTAATAATACGGAGAATAAATACACAGATTTTAATGATTAGCGAACAAAACAGTGACCAGAAATATTTGTTACTGAAACAGCTTTAAAGATTATGGGCTCTCAATAAGCTGTAATCCCAACTGATCTTCCTTCCTCCAAGTATTTTTACTGTGTGTATCTAGAATTTGTCCACCTCTTACTATCTGAGGCCACCCTCACCAGGGCCTCGCCAGGCTCCTCCTGCCCGGCTGCAAAAGCCTCCTAGTTGCCGTCTCCTCTTCCAAGCTACTTGGTGTTGGCCAAAATAATCTTGAAATGCAGATCTCATCATGTTAGTTCACTTTTGAAAAGTCCCCAATAGTTCCTCATTCCTTTGCCAACGAAAATCAAAATCCTTATTTTAAGCTGGCCCCGGCCTTCCTCCCCTTGGGCCTCATTTCATACCGTTCATCCCCTTATTTCCCTCCAGCCGGTAACTTCGGATACGCTATTCCATCTGCCTGGAGCACTCTTCCATCCCTCAGTACCTAGCTAACTCCTACACATGTTTCAAGTCTCAGCTAAAAGCCATTCATTCAGCAAATCTTTTCCTAATTTCTCTTTCCTGGGAAGGATTCCCTGCACTTATATATTGGTTTTCATTCCTGTGGCGTAGGTGTTTATCTGTGTGATTATTTGCTTGTCACTGTCTTCGCTGCTTGGCTGCGAGCTCAGTAAGGACAGGGTTCGTGCCTTTCCGTTCACTGCGACATCCCTGCTGATGGGACTGTGCCTGCTGATAGCAAGTAGGTATCAGATGGAAGGATGGAGTGTTCCCTGCACCTCATTCCGTGGAGAGAACCCACCCGCCTTCATCTCGGGCAACAGAAACGCACTGAGGGCAGCAAAGCGCATTCCCCTTTCTCCATCTGGAGACCACGCGCCACATCTGAGGACGACGATCCCACTTACACCACGTCCGTCTTTGTCCACAGTATCAGAGCCGCTCAGCTACCCAGTAGAGCTAGAACCATACGCCCTGGAGCAGGGTCTTACTGTAAAGAGAAGGCAGCGCCACTTCAGTAGGTGAAACTGTTTTCTCTCGGGCAGAGAGAGAGGAAGAGAGAGAAAGAGAGAGAGAACGCCTCCTTTCTGCCCTATTTTTTTTTATTTTTTTATTTATTTATGATAGTCACAGAGAGAGAGAGAGAGGCGCAGAGACACAGGCAGAGGGAGAAGCAGGCTCCATGCACCGGGAGCCCGATGTGGGATTCGATCCCGGGTCTCCAGGATCGTGCCCTGGGCCAAAGGCAGGCGCCAAACCGCTGCGCCACCCAGGGATCCCCTTTCTGCCCTATTTTAAATTTTGCCTGGGTGTTCTTTCTTTTAGCTAATTGTAAGCTTTCCCTTCTTGACTAGAGTCCGAGTTCTATATTGGAATGTAGAGACCGGATGGGTTTTATCTACGAGATATGAGAGGAAAGTGTCAAATGAGCAAGAGTTTTCCTTTCCTATTTTCAATTTGGTAAACACTCATGGAGGGTGCACTGTGCTTAAGACTCATGAAGAGGGTGGGAGGGGGAGAGATACAAAGACGCACAGCGTGGGGTCTCTTCCGTCCTCACGGACCCCATAGGCCAGCAAAGGACATAAACAATCGCCTATAATAAATGCTGTGATCAAAGTGGAAGCAAGGAACTTCTGGCACATAAAGCTGGAGAGCCCTCTGATTGGCAGAGCGGGAGGCGCCGCAGGTTGACAGTGATGGTGACGATCCTGACGACAGGCGGACGTGGAGGTGGAGTTGACGTCACAGCTTGGGTAACCGCCGGAGGGAAGGCTACTCTAATGTAAACCATAAAATGGCTTCTTTGTTTTTATTTTCAGTGATGCCACATTTTACTGTCTCAATAGAACCAGAAAAGAGTTTCATTGGCTATAAGGACTTCAATAATTTTGAAATTACTATAAAAGCGAGGTAAAAAGTTTCTTTCTTTCTTTGTTTTTTGTTTTGTTTTGTTTTGTTTGTTTTTGTTTTTGTTTTTGTTTTTTTCAGATTACCCAGCTAAACTGAGTGCCAAGTCTGGTTGGTGACAGTTTGTCAAAGTGAGAAGTGTGACTTTTCCCTCCCTTTACTGAGATATCATTGACACGTAACATTGTGCGCGTTTGAGGTGTACATTGTCTTGACCTCATGCACACGCATGTTGCTGAGCTCTGTGATTTATTGGCAGTGTTTTCTACGACTTTGGGATTGGCTGATTGAGGAGACATCGGCCTATGGTTTACTTACCTGTTATAACTTTCTTTAATTCTGATTTTAGCTTTCTTTGATTACACACAGAAAAAAAAAAATCCTAAAGTTCTAAGTTCAATGTGTGTGTTTAGGAGCCAGCGTAACTGAGGACGTTAGGACCGAGATATGAAGGCCTTACTTCTTGTCTTGTCTTGTGGCTTCCTCAGCCAGCTAATGCCACATGGCTGCTTCAAGAGCCCGAGCTTTGAAACCTCGACCCTTTACGGGGCACCCGGGCCGTTCAGCTGACCTGGGCCAGGCTGAGTGTCAGCGGGCTCACCTGTGCGCCTGCAAGCCGTCGGCTGGTTGCCTGGGGGCTGGCTGGTCCCTGGAGGTCATACTCACATGCTGGCAGTTGACTAAAGTCTCAAGGACAGTTGGACTTGGTGTGTCCCTCATCATCCAGCAGACGAGCCTGTAGTCGCAGCGATGCCCAGAGAAGGAGCGTGGAAGCGTGAAGGTCCTCTAGGGCCTGCGCTCAGGGCTGGCCCCCTCACTCCTACCACTTTTGTCCCAGCAAGTAATAAGACCAGCCCGAAGGAAACATTCCCTTCGTAGCTTTCATCTGCAAGGGGCCACAAAAGTGGTGGCTCTGTGGGGTCGGGGAGAAGCAGAGCTGGTTTTGCAAGCAGCCTCCCCAAAACTTCAGGTCGCTTAAAAAGGACAATATAAGGTAGTTATCAGCAACCATAGCCAATTTATATAACTGTGTGCGCCGGGCATTTTTCTAAGTATTCTGTATATATTAGCTCACTTAATAGGAAGTCTTGTGAGGCAGATAATATTTCTGCCCCCGTATTTCAAATAAAAAAAAAAAACAGAGGTACATAAACAGTAAGTAATTTGCCCAAGATCACATGGCTAGTAAGTTGTGTGGCCCAGCTGGTTTCAGAATTCAAGCCCTCGATACTACCCTGAACCTTTTTTTTTTTTTTAAGATTTTATTTATTTATTCATGAGAGACACAGAGAGAGTGAGAGGTAGAGACACAGGCAGAGGGAGAAGCAGGCTCCATGCAGGGAGCCCGATGCGGGACTCGATCCCGGGACTCCAGAGTCAGGCCCTGGGCTGCAGGCGGCGCCAAACTGCTGAGCCCCCCGGGCTGCCCCTGAACTGCTTTTCTTGTTGGCATTTATGCTTGAGATGGAGCGTTACTTAGTCTGAACCAACATAAAGGCGCATTTGACAGAGAATTCTAGAAACTGACCTCTTAATGGAGACACTCTGTTTGTTCAGACCGTGGTGCCGAAGGTTAGCTCTCGCTATAGTGTTACTGGCACGCAGCAAGTTCCCAACAGCCTCACTTTAATTCCAGACTGAAAAGGAAGTACGCGGTTAGAATGTTAAAAATGTAGTTATATGCCCATGAGATGGGCACGCTGCTTTTTAGGATACAAAAGACAATAGGGGGCAGCCCCGGTGGCACAGCGGTTTAGTGCCACCTGCAGCCTGGGGTGTGATCCTGGAGACCCAGGATCGAGTCCTGCATCGGGCTTCCTGCATGGGGCCTGCTTCTCCCTCTCCCTGTGTCTCTGCCTCTCTCTTGCTCTCTCTGAATGAATAAATAAATAAATCTTTAAAAAAAAAAAGACAATAGGGAGCTGAGCCCCACGGCTACCGAGACCACCGAGGAGGCAGCGTGTCCTGGCCCAGACCTGCGTCCTCTGATCTCCTCAAGGTCCATGTTTTCCTCTAGAGCAGAGTAATAAACATCCGCACTTCGGTTTTATTATTGTAGTTTCATGAGGATGAAATGTAATAGTGGATGGAAGGCACTCGAAAGTGTATCAAGCGCTTTATGTAATTTCAAATTGTTACATGGGTCTGGATGTTGTTATTGTAACCATGTCAGCAAAGCAATTCTATGGTATTATTGTTTGGCAGATATTTTTATAACAAGGTCGTCACTGAGGCCGAAGTGTATATCTATTTTGGAATAAGAGACGACTTAAAAAGTGATCAAAAAGAGATGATGCAAAAAGCAATGCGAGACACAATGGTAAGACGCTAGGACGCGGCCGCCGGTGGCTGAAGAGCCTGCACGAAGGGGGGCGTCGCCAGGCTTGGTCTTCTGTCGCTGCGCGGTCCGAGCCAGCGTGTCCCTGGCTGCCCCAGTCCTCAGGGTGACCCTGACGTCAGGGAGGACCTCAGGCCCCCCTTGCGGCCCTCCTCGCGGCCTCCCTCCGTCTCCTGGCCTCCGGGCGCCTTCCTGGAGCTTAGCGCCTCCGGGTGTTTGCAGAGCGGCCCCGTCCACTTGCGATCGCGCCTCCCCCTTGTCCCCGCAGCCTCTGCCTCTTCACCTTCTGGCCAATTCCTTGGGACGGCCTCGGGGTGGACTCCCCTTCCCTGACGGCCCCCCCGCCCTGTGAACCCGGGGCCTGGAGCCTCCCTGGTGGAGCACAGTGCCCAGCCTGACTCTTCCCCGCGGGGCCCAGCCTCGTCCAGGGACGCCTGCGGTGTCTCAGCAGGTGGGAGGGTGGCCGCCCCGGGCGTTTGTGGCTGGAGGCCGGGATGCTGCCCGAGTCCCACGGTGCACGGAGCAGCCTCAGCAAGAGTCCCCTGTCCTACCCGTCAACTGCGGGGACAGCGGGAAACCCTTCCTACTGCGACGGCTCCTCTCCTTCCCTGTCGTTGTCTACACCACACTCTCTGCGGCTCTGAGCTGCTCGCATTATACGGCCCGAGCCAACCTGGGTCCTGGCAAGGAGTAGGTGTCCACACCTTTTCATGGTGATCGAATTCGCTGGGGAGTTATCTGTCCCTGGAGAAGGGTTGTGGTCGCGGGAGCCCAGAGCAGAGCCCGGCTCCCCTCCCCTTGGGCCGCACCCTTGCCCTGACACCTCAGCTGATAAGGGACGCCCGTCGCTCGCTCACTCTTGCACGTTCATGTGGTTTGTATCATCGGTTACTTAGCCTGTGCTTCTCCAGAGAGTTTTATTTATTCAGGGTATAAAGCAGAAGACACCTCTTCTTACTGTAAGAGTCTATGCTCGTCGCTGAGATTTGAAGGCAAAGAAGACAAAATCCCTGGCCTCAAGCCACTCAATCTTGGAAGAAAGAATGAGGCAAAAATCCATTTTACTGTTGTGGTTAATGATCAAATCACATAATATGACTTAACTTCATCCCCCTCTACCCACTGTGCGTTTTCAAATTACTGTTTCAATATGCAAGCAGTGAGGTACAAATTAAATATCACAAAACCCAATAAACTCTCAGGGGCAAAAGGAAACTGGAAAGTGGGCCCAGAAACTGGATGTTGACCCAACGATGGGAAGCTGGGCCCACACCCCAGCTGGGCCGCCTGCTGGCCCTTCCCGCGCCCACGGCCCTATGTGAGGAAGGACGCTCTGGCCTGAGCTGCAGACACTCACTCACCCTCCCATTCCTGAGAGTCGCCGCCAGTCAGGAGCTAGGAAAGGCAGATTTTGTCCATTTCTCTCTGTTAAGTTCCCTGAAACACCTCTCTCATTTTCTGCTTTTAAAAAGCTGATAAATGGAGTTGCCCAAGTCACCTTTAACTCCGAAACGGCGATTAAAGAACTGTCCTACAGCAGTCTGGAAGATCTGAACGACAAGTACCTTTATATTGGTGTGACAGTCATAGAGTCTACAGGTAAGTTGTTCTCTACTTTCCCTTGAATGATATTTAGACAGCGTATTAGAAGCATTGGTCATTTCTGTAAGTCTTTTGTCTTTTATTTTCTTTCCTGGTTAAACTTGACTTTTCATATCTTTAAAAACTGGTAGTGGAGTAGCGCTCCCCCGCACGCTAGTCATTGGTCTCTATGACCCCAGGTGTGAACACGGCACGGCACCTGCCCGGCTGATTGCTACCCTGATACCTGCCTTGAACATCTAGCACCCAGTGTGTTCTCACCTGGTGAGAATAAATATCTAATGAGATTACATATGTGAGAACGTCTGATAAAGTACCGCGCAAGTGCACGAGGCTGTATTGTCACTTAGTGTCCTCGTCTGTACAATGATGGAGGTGAGCTAAGTACCTCCCAAGGCCCGTTTCAGCCGTAACACTCAGGAATCTCTCTAAAATGGGAGGCAGTGTTTCAAAGTGAGTCATAATAGCCCATACCTCGCGGGGCTGCGCTGACGGCCGGAGAGTCAGTGTCTGCAAAGCGCTTAAACAGCACACGTGACGCAGGGAGAACCATGTAAGCGTCAGGTCCCCCTTCCCCGACTCCTCTTCTCGTTCTTTTTCCTATCCCTCGCCCTCCCCCCTCCTCCCCGTCCTCCTCCCCCTCCTTCTCCTACCTGCTACTTTCTTAGCATCCTTCAAATCTTACCTAGTGCCTTTCAGCTCCAGTTGTTTTTAACAGTCACTAATTATTACTATAAATGAGGTCGACTTGCCTTACTTCTAGTGTCTTGGTCACTAATATTCTTTATGTTTTTGGGTTTATATTGAATCCCAAAACCACCTTGAACAACTTAATGTAACCACACTAGTCCTTTTGTTTGTTTATAGAAATGAGAGTTAGACCAGATGATCCCTTATGCCGCCCCCTCCACCTCGTCAAATTTGTCCTTCACGGGTGCTAGGGTGAAGAACTGCGGTAATTATTCATTACGGAGGACCTCGGACATACCAGACGAGCAACAGATATTAGAGAATGATATTCTTTACCCAGGCTTTTATTTTTGACATTATTTTAATGTTTCTTTTCTACTTGTATTCTTTTTTCTTCATTTATTTCAAAAAAATTCCATTTAGGCAATAGTTGTGAGATAGTCAGAGTGTTGCTAAGCATACGGGCTTCCAGATACGAATGACGTACAACCCCGGCACTCACGTGGCTTGCAAGCTAGCATCAGCCATGGCAGGCAGGCAGAGTTTGGTCATAAGCAGGAATTCTCTTTGCCCTCTAGTGAGCAAAGTACTTAGTACTACTGAGGTCCGGAGGAAGGGGAGCTCCTAGGCGATGGCCGAGCAACCACATACGGTATCCTGGGGATGCTCAGTCTTGAGGGATCGGCCGGGTTTTGAGGCAGGGATGGTAGACGGGGTGAAATGGGACACCCTCCACACAGGGGACATGCCAAGGGCGGAGGGCAAGGCCTGGTCTTTGGGATCCCAGGTGGTCACGCAGTTGGCTGAGGCGCAGGGTGCGTAGAGGCGTGCTAGGGAGCCAACACTGGAAAGGACTTTGGGGATTCTGGGGCTCGGGTGCGGATGGGCTCCTGCCAGCGGCCTCTCCCTTCTATGTCAGGTGCTCTTCCTCCGTCTTCTCAATTCCTCTCCGTTTCCCTGCACCGCGCAGGTGAAGCCCGGGAGACTTAGTGTCCAGTCCTTTCCTTGTGTCTGGAAACCCTCGTATGCATTCCGCTGAAACTCAGGCCCCTGACAGAAAGCGGGGTCCCTTAGTCCCCTCCCTCCTCAGTCCAACCCGGTAGCTCTCCTTCCTCGAGGACGCCTCTGCACGCAGGCCTGGGGCAGAAGGCTTCGGCATCTCCTGGGCTAAGCGCCTCTGCACCGCCAGACCCCCGCTTCCCATGAGCAGCGAACGTGGGACGGAGCGCAGGTACCCGGGCCTGGCCCGCGGCCTACCCCAGCGGGACGCGTGTCCTTTCTTCAGGTGGATTTTCTGAAGAGGCGGAAATTCCTGGCATCAAATACATCCTGTCTCCCTACAAACTGAATTTGGTGGCCACTCCTCTGTTCCTGAAGCCCGGGATCCCATATTCTATCAAGGTAGACGAAAGAGGGAGAATGGCTAAATATGCTTGTCGCCTTCTGTGTCCCGAAAGCATGAGGGTGGCAAACGGGAGGGACCCTGCGGGAGGAGGGATCGCGGAGGGAAGGGGCCTGCAAACCTCCCCCTGCAAGGGCCAGCGGCTGCCTGGGCCCGGGATGGGGGGGAGCTGCCCCCCAGCAGGGGCCAGGGTTTGGGGAGCTGGCCTGCGATAGGCGGCCCCTTGAAAAGCACTGCATTCGGTCAGATGAAAGTGAAACCCGGTAAGCCTGTACTTTAAAGAATGCTAACATTGAAAATTATTTGGCGGCATGTTCTCCAGAAACCTTAAATATCATTCCTTGAAAACAAAACCCCTTTCTCCCACCACTGTCTCCTTCTCTGTTTGCATCTCTGTGTCTCAGTCCTTGCCCATGACCCTGTCTCAGGCCCTCTCTCTATTATTCTCCATGCTTTCCATTTTGGCTCTCGGTTCTTGACTCTCTGTCTTTTTTTTTTTCTTCTTCTTCCTCCTGCCCTTTTAATATTTTCTTTCCTCCCTCAACTTTTCCTTTTTTTTTAAATTTATGATAGTCACAGAGAGAGAGAGAGAGAGAGAGAGAGAGAGAGAGAGAGAGAGGGAGAGAGGCAGAGACACAGGCAGAGGGAGAAGCAGGCTCCATGCACCGGGAGCCCGATGTGGGATTCGATCCCGGGTCTCCAGGATCGTGCCCTGGGCCAAAGGCAGGCGCCAAACCGCTGCGCCACCCAGGGATCCCAACTTTTCCTTTTTAAAATGCTGACCGTATAGTGTTAATACGTTCATTTGACTTCCTAATTGTCTTTTATTTAGTGTCATGTATTTCATTATATGCAATACCTATGATATATTTAAGAGGGAAACTGTTGCTCCTTGTCTCTAATTTAGAAAACTAGAACACAGTAGTTTCTTTTATTCTTTTTTAAAAGATTATTTATTTACTTATTTGAGAGAGTGAGAGCTAGAGCAAGAGATCAGAGAGACAGAGGGAGAGGGAGAAGCAGACTCCCCCCTGGGCAGGGAGCCCGATGCGGGACTCGACCCCAGGACCCCGGGACCACGACCTGAGCCGAAGGCAGACTCTGAACCTGCTGAGCCGCCCAGGCACCCCTATTTTTTTTTTATTCTTTAAAAATGTGTTGCTTTGGGCAGCCCGGGTGGCTCAGCGGTTTGGCGCCTGCCTTTGGCCCAGGGCGTGATCCTGGAGACCCAAGATTGAGTCCCACGTCGGGCTCCCGGTGCATGGAGCCTGCTTCTCCCTCTGCCTGTGTCTCTGCCTCTGTGTGTGTGTGTGTGTGTGTGTCTCGTGAATAAATAAATAAAATCTAAAAAAAAAAAGGGTTGCTTTAAGAAATCAACTTTAGTATAATTCAAATGTATTTAATACTCACTGTCTTAAGAGAGTGGCTTAAGTGGTCACTGGCTTTTAAGAGAAAAAGATTTGCCAAGCTAAAACAAGTTTTAGCCAAGCTTGTAGCTTTCTTTCATATAAATATATTATAACATATATTATTTTGGAGTACGTATGATAATTTAAGGTATGTTATAGATAATATATAATAATATGTAATAAAATCCCATAAGCATAATATATTGAATATATATATATATGATTTTAAAATCTCTCTTATATATTTTATATCACATATAAAAACAAAATAACAGAGGCACCTGGGTGGTGCAGTAGGGTAAGCTTCTGCCTTTGGCGCAGGTCATGATCCCAGGGTCCCCAGATGGAGCCCTGCCTCGGCCACCCGCCCTGCTCGGCGGGGAGCCTGCTTCTCCCTCTCCCTCTGCCCCTCCTCCTGCACATGTGCGCTCTCTCTCTCTCTCTCTCTCTCTCTCTCAAATAAATAAAATCTTTTAAAAATAAATAGAATCAAGCTTTTCTATAATCTAAGAACATACTTCCCTCTATTGAAGTAGACATGAGTAATTTACTCTTGTGGGGAGGAAGAAAAATCGTTTCAGAATTGTTCTGCTTTTTAAAAAGTAGTGAGGAGTTGCTGAGATGGATTTGGACTGTCCTGACAAACAGGTGCAGGTTAAGGATGCGCTGGACCAATTGGTGGGAGAGGTCCCGGTGGCCCTGAGTGCGCACTCGGTCAACGTGAACCAAGAAGTATCTGACTTGGAGTCAAAGAAAAGCGTGACCCGTTCCAGCGACGGAGTAGCTTCGTTTGTGGTTAATCTTCCATCTGGAGCAACAGCGCTGGAGTTTAACGTGAGCTAAATTCTCCTGTTGAATTTTCTAGGACAATGTGTGCTTTGGACTCTGTGTTTTGGCTCGTGTGCAGAACAGATGCAGCAGATTTCAAACACGGGTCCAGAGAACAGATCCACGATTTTGCTTCCAAAGAAAAAATAACAGGAACCGGAGGCAATGTGCTAACCCGCTGAGCGGCCCTCGAGGAACGTGCAGGAATCACTTCCTATTTGGGAATGAATTATTCTCCCCTACGTTAGTAAGACTATATTAGAATCTGGAAGCTTCCGAGTTGGCACAGCAGTGGAAGTCAGTGGCAGGAATAGTCCCTCCTTCGCCCCCACTTTTTGTCTTTTTTTCAGGGACACAAAAGGGTCAAACGTGGACGCCTCCTCTTTGCCCAGCTGCCCTTTGCTCAGTTCACAGGCTTCTCTCCCAGCGACTAATGCTCAGGGTCCCAGCCCCGAATAGAAGATGAGTCGTCGATGGAGCCCATGGGGGGCTGCAGCAGGCGGCCTGCGTGGACGTGGGCGCGCTTAGGGCCAACGGGAGGCTTCCAGGCTCTCTCGTGTTGGAGGCTCAGCCAGTGGGACGGCAGCCCGGGGCGGGGGCCTGGTGGCTGCGGGACACTGCGGGGCGGGCGGGGGCAGCACTTGTTCCGGGAGCCCCGCTCTCCACCTCACCAGACTCCCCCGCCGGAGCTCGAAATCCCGTATCATTCCGGTTATTGTCCACGGGCTGTGCGGCCACTAGATTCCGCAGCTGCTCGAACATCGGGGTCCCGGAGTCGTTTCCCTTTAGCGTTTGCTGGTGTGGAATTTAGAAGGCAGGGAAGGAATTTAAAAGGTATTTTTCATAGGGAATATTTCATCACGGTCCACACGTCTCTTTTGAAATTTTCCTTCTCAGGTCAAGACTGCTGACCCAGATCTTCCAGAAGAAAATCAGGCCAGCAAAGATTACCAAGCAATAGCCTATTCATCCCTCAGCCAGAGTTACCTTTATATTGACTGGACGGAAAACTATAAGCCCTTCCTAGTGGGGGAGCATCTGAATATCATCGTCACCCCCAGAAGTCCGTATATTGACAACATAACCAACTATAATTACTTGGTAAGTAGAGTAATGATAGATTTACATCTAACTATTCCCCGCCTGGAACACTTTCTTGGAAAAATGGAGCAGAGGGACATTAGAACTTTTGAGCACTAGAACATTAGAACAGGGCTCAGCGGGGAAGCATCCGCCTGGGGCCCAGACCGTGACCCCGGGTCCCGAGATCGAGTCCCACATAGGGCTCCCCGCAGGGAGCCTGCTTCTCCCTCTGCTGATGTCTCTGATGAATCAATAAGTAAAATCTTTAAAAAAAAAAAAAAAGAACATCAGAACAAAACTTTAAAATTTGCTTTTACAAAGCCCTTTCGAGAACATTATCAAATTCGATAATCAGTTTTTCAAAAAACTTTGAGACGGGCCATGATTTTCGTGACCATTTTCTAGATGACGAAACTGAGGAACAGAGGTTAAGAGGCTTGGCGTGGTCACCCAGCTTGGAAGAGGAAGATTTCGATTTGAACTCGGAACCTCTGACACCTGGTCCCATACTGCCTTTCACACAAGGGCGCCCGCGTACTCCCCAGAGCCTGGTTAAGTCCTCACGTCCCCTGCTCTACCCCTGCTCAACTTCGAGGCCAGAGATCGCTGGCCCAGAGCTCTTCCAATATGCGCATTTCAGCGGCATAAGGGGGCCCTAGTCCTGCTCTTAAGAGTGGAGTCATCGATACCTACTCTGATGCTACATTTTAGCAGCAAGCCTGTTGCATCACCGGCCTTAATCAAAGGTGGCCGTCAAGCCTGTGGGTGGAAGCCAGGACAGAAGGTGGGGAACGTGTTAAGGGCTTCCTGACGACTGTCGAGGAAATGTGTTATTCCGACGGCCAGCCAAACAGGTGGTGATGGCTTTTTCAACATTTTTGAGAAAAAGACTTAAAAATAAATGAGGAGCACAGATCATAGTGACTGGCGAAGGATTATGGGACCTGTATAGGGGCTACGTACCAAAACCACGTATGCAGCCCTGGTTTCCAAGGACAATTTAAGGGATCTTTGAGGACATTTGGCCCACATGTGTTTTGTGACCTTATTTTATTTAAACCACATGCCTCCAATTTAGAACCTAATCTCTGGCTTTATTTTTTTTTTAAGATTTTATTTATTTATTCATGAGAGACACAGAGAGAGGCAGAGACACAGGCAGAGGGAGAGGCAGGCTCCATGCGGGGAGCCCGATGCGGGACTCGATCCCAGGACTCCAGGATCATGCTCTGGGCTGAAGATAGGCATTCAACCTCTGAGCCACCCAGGCGTCCCTAATCTCTGGCTTTAAAACTGAATTCCCAAATAAGACGCATTTTACTTACTCATCTTTTTTTTTTTTTTTTTTTTTTTTAGCCAATAAAATGAAAGATTTTAGTGACAGTGTGATGACTTTAGGCAGACATGGGGTCAAATCCTAGTGCTCTGATTTCTTAGTTTTGTGATTTTGAGCTAATATCAGTCTGACATGTAGTGGATTCCTGAGCCCCAGTCCCTCTATCTGTCTGCACAGTGAAGGTCTACCCCCGTCCTGGTCCTCGTGAGAAAGAAAGGAATTCAGTAAATATAAAAGCTCCCGACTCGTTGTGGACCCAAACTTATGACTTTCTTTTTCTCTACCATAATTTCTACTCCAGCTCCAAGCTCCATCCTGAAGTAAAGGTTTTGTTGTTAACGGCCACCACGGCTGTTTATTTTCAGGTTTTATCCAAGGGCAAAATTGTTCACTTTGGCAAAGCGGAGAAACTTCCAGATTCATCTTACCAAAGCGTAAACATTCCAGTGACCCCAGACATGGTTCCTTCAGCCCGTCTCCTGGTCTACTACATCGTCACGGGAGAGCAGACAGCGGAGTTAGTGTCTGACTCAGTCTGGTTAAATATCGAAGAAAAGTGTGGCAACCAACTCCAGGTGAGCCACAAATTATGAGTCACAATCCAATTTCCCTCTTTTACAGGCGACTCTGGATGTAACTACTTGATGCATTATCTCATGCAGTTGACCTTTCCTTCCCTTTTTCAAATGATCTTTCAGGTTCATCTGTCTCCGAGTGCAAATGCGTATTATCCAGGCCAAAGTGTGTCTCTTAATATGGTGACTGAGTCCAGTTCCTGGGTGGCTCTCTCAGCAGTGGACAGCGCCGTATACGGAGTCCAGGGGCGAGCCAAGAAGCCCATGCAAAGAGTTAAGTAGTGCACGGCGTGGTTGCGGGGGCAGGGGGTGGCTCTGTGCAGCGCCTCGGGAAGGATGGCCCAGGGCTAGCTTATGGGGAGGAATTGGGGGAAGACCAGGCCTGCTTTCCTATAACATACCCAAAAATGGTTCTTAGGAAGGTAGGCCATCCTCGTGTTGGTCCCTGAAGCATAGATTCGTCCTTTTCTGTTTCTCCAAGTGTAGAGTTAAGCACTTCAAGAACGTATGACCATGATGGCAAATTATATTCATGGGGCAAAAGCGCCACCGATTGGGAGGGTTTTCAGATCAGAGAGTAGGGGGCTTCATCGCGGCAGCATAAGAAGTAAGTCTGGATAGGCAGCCTCTGGAGGGTTTTTGGTCTTGTTTTCTTTTTCTTTTTTTTTTTTTTTTTTACTCTTTTTAAAATCTGTGGCACAAAAGAATATGACAATTATTCAGTTCCCCTGAATTCCTGTTTACCTCCCAGATGCCCTGCTACTATTTTCTAAGCTTAAATTCGTTTGAACAAGAAAGAAAAAATCTATACAGTTAAAAACATCCAGAAAAGAAAAAAAAAAAAACATTTGGGATCAAAATTAAAACTGGAATAAGCTTCCCCAAACAAGCTCTCACCCATTTACAACCTTGAGCCCTCTTCTCCAAAACACAAGAGTCTGTGCTCCTTTTTTTTTTTTTAAGCAACTTAAAAATTGATTTGTCTGGTAATTCACTGGTTCATCATTCGTTACGCCGATCACAGTACGCATCCTACGTACAAAACAGCATGAGTCGTTCCCAAGAATCTTCTCTCTAAAGCTTAAAACTTAGTTCTTGTTTTAATTTTGAATGGGTGCATGTTGATAAAATATAAAAGGACAAACTAAAATAATGGAGTTGGGAAACTTAGTCTTTGACCATTTGACAAACAAGTGGCCTGATTTGTTGTGACCATGTGACAACTTGCACCTTGAGTCCTTCGGAGGAATGATTCATACATCTGACATTTCGCCTTTCGCTAATTCTTAAGAAGGATTAAATTAGCTGACTACCTCCGGACAGGTATTTCAAGCCTTAGAGACGAGCGACCTGGGCTGCGGGGCAGGTGGTGGCCGCAACAACGCAGAAGTGTTCTATTTGGCTGGACTCACCTTCCTCACCAACGCCAATGCAGATGACACCCAAGAAGATGGTAAAACGTTCAGCATTTTTGGCTTATTCTGCAAATTGATTCCTGAAATTTTCAGTGATCATTTGCCTCCTGGACATCATTTGTGTGACTCTCCTCCACAGTCTTGTCTACGCTGGCCTTAGGGAGACAGGGCTCCATAACGCCCCGGGGACAAAAGGTTTCGCTGACCATCAAGAGAGAGCACAGAGTCTTTAGTGTGGTCCTCAGAGCCTTCCATGAGCTTCTGCGCAGCTCTCGGCAGTTGTCCCCTGTCTCAGCCCCGCTTAGCCTACGTCGGGGCCGTGCAGGACCAGGTGCAGTGGCGCTCCGCCCGGTGGCCTCGTGGGCGGCACGATGCTGTCTACACCTTAGGCCTTTCCCCATCAGGACTGCTTCCCCTTCTATTAGCCTGGAGAAGCCGGTGAGAGGACCGCCGCCTCCATCAGGCCTCTTCCCCGCGTAGAAGTGCTCGCCCCCCTCCTTTCACAGGGAGAGCCCCGGACGGACCCGCTCCGCTCACAGGCACAGCGGTGCGTCACCGTCTGGTCTCAGCCACTGCGCTGTGAATTCTTTAAGGACAAGGACCACCTCTTTTTTTTTTTTTTTTTATAAATTAATTTTTATTGGTGTTCAATTTACCAACATACAGAATAACACCCAGTGCTCATCCCGTCAAGTGTCCCCCTCCGTGCCCGTCACCCATTCACCCCCACCCCCCGCCCTCCTCCCCTTCCACCACCCCTAGTTCGTTTCCCAGAGTTAGGAGTCTTTATGTTCTGTCTCCCTTTCTGATATCTCCCACACATTTCTTCTCCCTTCCCTTATATTCCCCTTCACTATTATTCATATTCCCCAAATGAGTGAGAACATACACTGTTTGAAGGACCACCTCTTAATCATATTCTTTCTGTGGCTTTAAAATTGCTCCTGATTATATTTGACCCATGATTCCTGATAATACAGCACAAAGAACAAATAATAAAAACAGCCGTACCCAACAAAAGCTTTGCTCACTTCCACATGCTTAGATATTTCTCTGTAATCAGTGGATCGAAAAGGTTGCAGGATTTAAGACCGAACTCCAGGATTTGGTTGAAGCCAAACTCTACAGATGACATGAGATGATCTAAGATAAAGCAAGGCATATTAAGACGTGCGGGGCACCTTGCCTAGGCAAAAACAGGCCCTCGGGGGTTGTTGAACGAAATGAGTGACTTGGGAATGTCCTAAATACTTGAATAATTTCATGGGATTTTCTTTCTTGAGATTTTTATCTCCTTCCCCCCCACCCTTCTTTGTTTTGTTTTAACAGATAAGCCTTGTAAAGAAATTCTCAGGCCAAGACGAACGCTGAAAAAGGAAATAGAAGAGGAAGGTACTCTAGAATCGCATGCGATTGTGAAAAAGTTACGATCCTATTATTCAAAACCCATAGAAAACTAATCATTATCTAACTTTCCCTCATCCGAATAGAATGGATGCAAAGAAAGATACGTACAGATGTCCCGCTTGCCTCTGTCAGAAAGATTAATCCAAATAAATCCAGTATTTCATGTGCTATATAACCTCAATCTGAAGATAATACGTATTATTTCTATCTCCAAAATCTAAAAGATTAACTTTTGTCACAAAAAAATATATTCTTCCATTTTTATTCTGACAAAATTCATGATTTGATTAACTCTGGAGCGTACCTCGAAACCCATTTCTTCTGTATATTTAACAGCAAAGAGTATTTTGGATTATTCTTTGGCAAATCAGTCCAATAGAAATTATTTTTAAGCAATTATTTAAGTAGAAACGTGACGTACTGGCGGTGTAAAAATAAGAAGAATGTTGAACCAGAAGTCGGTCACCTGAGTTCAACCAATAATCGTGCTTCGATTAATGTCATAATTCCTCCCATCCGTACGTGAGTTATTTTAATTTTAACCTTTGTTCTAAGTTTTAATGATGTGAAGAGGAAGACGCCGAGCCATTCGAGCGTGATGAGGGATGATGCCGCGAGTGATGGCCCACAAACCACACCAGAAAAGTCTTTAAAAACAGGATCTGTAGCTTAAAGAAGGAAACCCTTGAGTGTTGGCGCTAGTCCCCTTCACATGGGTGAAAGCTTCTCAGTTAACTGATTTTACTCCGAGGGGCTGAGCCCGGTACCAGGTTCCAGAGCTGCTACTGGGCTTAGTTGCAGGCTCCTCGACCATGTCCACCGAAGCCGATGACGGCGTGTTGAGGGCTCCTGCCTCGCTAGCGCAGCCGGTCACTGTCCCGGCCCGGTCAATGTCCCGGCTGGTCGCTGTCCTGGCTGATCACTGTCCCAGCTGGTCGCTGTACTGGCCGGTCGCTGTCCAACCCCATCACTGTCCCGGCCCAGCCACTGTCCCAGCCCAGGCACTGTCTCGGCCGATCGCTGTCCCAACTGGTCGCTGTCCCAGCCCGGTCCCTGTCCCAGCCTGGTCACTGTCTTGGCCGGTCGCTGTCCCAGCCAGTCACTGTCCCAGCCCAGTCCCTGTCCCAGCCTGGTCACTGTCTTGGCCGGTCGCTGTCCCAGCCTGGTTGCTGTCTCAGCCGATGGCTGTCCTGGCTGATCAGTGTCCCGGCTGGTCGCTGTCCCACATAGTCACTGTCCCACTCGGGCACTGTCCCAGCCAGTCACTATCCCAGCTGGTCGCTGTCCCTGCCCGGCCACTGCAGGCAGGCTTCGCGGGGCGGTGAGGCCTGGTACCCCGCGGTCCCTGCAGGCCCGGCAGTGCCGTGACCCTCGCCTTCTGCCCTTGCAGCTGCTAAGTACAAACAGGCGGTGCTGAAGAAATGCTGCTACGACGGGGCCAACCGGAACTACGACGAGACGTGCGAGCAGCGCGCCGCCCGCATCAAGGTGGGCCACTGGTGCGCCAAGGCCTTCAGGGCCTGCTGCAACATCGCCAGCCAGCACCGCATCGACTCCTACAAGCCCCTCCAGCTGGGAAGGCTGCGTAAGTGTGGCCTCTGCGTCGGGTTTCTTTCTTTTTTTTTTTTTTTTAAAGATTTTATTTATTTATTCATGAGAGACAGAGAGAGGGAGAGAGAGGCAGAGACACAGGCAGGGGGAGAAGCAGGCTCGGTGCAGGGAGCCCAACGCGGGACTCGATCCCGGGACCCTGGGGTCACGGCCTGGGCTGCAGGCAGCGCTAAACTGCTGGGCCCCCGGGGCTGCCCTCCCTCAGGTTTCTGCCCGATTTGGGGAGTCTTGGGTGCTGGGGTGCCGCCGGAGAAGAGCGGCTTTCATGCCTAAAGATTGAAGCGCGAGCAGACGACTTGCAAACGCCCGGGCCCGGGAGGCCAGCAGAGCCCCTTTCCGTCCCTGGGGAGGGGGGGCCTCCCGCGCAGAGCCCCACAGTCAAGCCCCAGGCAAGTCCCAGGCCTCCCACCCTCCACCGGGAGGATCCCGCGGCCCCTCAGACCCTCAGTTTTCGAGCAAGAGCCTCGGCTACACGGTCTCCAGGGTGCCTTGGTCCAGAGTGCAAGGCGCCTGCGACCTCACACCTGTGAAAAATTTTATTTATGCCCATAGTGACCGGCTATAGCAAGAGATTTCTACAGTCAGCACGAGGCTAAGCGTGTTTCCATAAAAGATGACATCTTATTTCCATTTCAACCATAAACTGAGTTTTTAAAATTGTGTGTGTGTGTGTGTGTGTGTGTGTGTGTGTGTGTGTTTAAGGCAGAAGAGTAACTCCCATCAGTGCATCTTGGACAGAAGCAGAAATTCTGTCCATTTTTATTAAGGGAAATATAAATAAATTTCCCTTAGGTAAGCCTCCTTTATTTTATAATATAAACACAACTACCGTAATTATAAAAATGCAAATAACTGTATAGATTGATCAGTATCTTTTATAATCTCAGGTACACTAAGCATTTAGCAATTTAAGAAACAAATCATTGAAGATATTATTATGCTTTATTTGCTTTGTCAGTACCAAGGCTTTTGAAGTCCTATTTTGAAACGACTGAACAAAATGTTTCATGGACCTTTTAGGAAATATTCATGTTATAGATTAATGTCCTTGCTTTAAAATTTGGCTCTTAGTAAAATTTGTGTTGTTTTTTCACGATCACACATACTTTCTCCCCCCCCCCCCCCGCCAGAAATAAAGCACCTGTTACCAGTAACCAAGCCAGAAATAAGGAGCTATTTTCCAGAAAGCTGGTTATGGGAAGTTCATCATGTCTCTGGAAGAAGGTATTATACTTCTTCAACACTCCTCTGAAAAATGTGGGAAAATGCAAATATTATGGTAAAAAATCTGGAAACTACCCATTTCCCAATAGTTTATTTAAAAGTTAAGACAATATTACCATTTAATGAAATTTTGTTTTATTTGCTTCGCTTTTTTTTTTTTTTTAACCCTGTGCTTCCTCTAGTAACTAGTTTCAGGGCAAGATTACCTACTCTTGGTGAGGAAGGGTACGCGTCCCTTTTATTTCGTCCCATTTCACTAAGCCTTCACTGAGCCCAAGTGTGCGCTAACTGCCGTGGCACGCAGCCATTTTCATCCTGAAATAGCTGTACTGTGAAATAAATATTGATTAATAAGAAGAAAGGTTCCTTTCTTGTTATTCAACACATTTTAAAAATAGATTTTATTTATTGATTCATGAGACACACAGAGAGAGGCAGAGACCCAGGCAGAGGGAGAAGCAGGCTCTGTGCGGGGAGCCCGATGCGGGACTCGATCCCAGGACCCGGGGTCACGGCCTGGGCCGAAGGCTCAGCCTCTGAGCCCCCAAGGGCCCCTATTCAACGCATTTTTATGGCTGCGCCTTCTCTGTCCCCGGAACTGAAAACAGTCAACGATGCTGAGTCCCTGAGCATCACCCGTCCTTGTGGACTCCAGCCTTGACCTTAAGGAGCCCTCGAAGCCCGAAGGCCGGAGCCTGCATCTGCCTTGAGCTGCGTGTCCGGCCTCCGCTCTGCCTCTAACCCTTCCTCCCCACGTTGTCCGTCGCGGCAGGTGCTGCCCCTGGGTAGCGCCTCCACGGGGAGCCTTCCCTCCACTGTCCCAACCCGCCCGGGACTGGGTTAAGTGCCCCTCCTGACGAATCCTGCTGCGTGGAACATACAGTATTGTAACGGCCCGATTTCCACATTAAAACCTCACTTCCAGGGCAAAGCCTACACCGCACTACCGCTTTGCGTTCAGGACCCGGCGCAGAGCCCCGCTGGTAGAGGCCCTCAGAGAGAGGCGCTGAGGCATGCAGGCCGCGTCCCAACTTTTTAAATGCTCATCGATACGGTTATTCCAGTGATTGCAATTTATTTACTTACCTGCCTCTTCCACTAGAGGTGAACCCCTTGGGAACAGCGGGGTAGGCTGCAGGCGACGTCTACTCGGCGTTAGTGCTCCGCCGGACACTAAGTCGGCGGACGGTGGCTGCTTGTGGAACGAAATAAATAAATAGATGAGCTTAATCTTAGAAATGTTTAGCTCTGCTGCCTTTGTCACGAGCGCTGTTAAATGCATAGCTTTGCTGCCCTATTTTAGAACATACCACACAGTAAATATTTTTTGTATGTTTTGAATTTGTGGGGTTTCAAAGGCGCATCTTTCTGAATTTGAATTCTCATCATACCAGTGACGTATTTTAAAACATGCAACACCAAGGAGAGCTCATGAATGTATTTTTTTCTTGCTTGATTTTTTTTCCTTAATACGTGATGTGATTTCGTTGGGTTGTGATTTTTTTTCTTTATTCTAAAGTAGTCTGAAGCAAAGATCCTGTTAGTGAACGCTGGCAAGTTGGGCTGATCACTGGATCTGAATATTAACGTTTTAACTTTCCAGAAACCAATTACAATTTGGGCTTCCTGATTCTCTAACTACCTGGGAAATTCAAGGTGTTGGCATTTCCGACAGTGGTAAGCAAGCTTAAGTCATATACCTATTTAAGGGGTGGCTTGATTAGCAAAATGTAGGGGGTTTTTGTTATAATCCATATAGTGTACTCAGGACTCGAGTGGTATATCATTTGTTAAATATCCTTTTTAACATATTACAAAAAGACGTGGATATGCCCGTATCTTTGACCATATTAATTTGTTCTGTTAACCATCTGTCAATCTGTTAACCATCATTTTTATCAATGCTGATGTCAAATCCCCATCTTCCCTCATTTTTCTCACTGGCTGGGAGCTTGAGTAGAGTTAGAAGCAAACGTGTGACTTCTCTCCTGGGCTAATGCCCTTTTGTGGCAATTTAGTACAGATACTTTATTAATAACTTCAGGGTTGGTTTTGATTATTTGTCGGCTATTTCTTATTTAAAGTCTTGGTTTCCGTAATCAAAATGTTATACCGAGTAAAGAGAGTCAATGACGAATATCTAAAAAGAGATTTGTTACCCAAGTTGACGAGCATTCTCATGCCTTAATAGAATTAAATATTTGTCAGATAAATGAAATTTTCTATAAATACCTATAATTATTGAAATACAGATCAATTAGTAGAAAATTCGGGGATCCCTGGGTGGCGCAGCGGTTTGGCGCCTGCCTTTGGCCCAGGGCGCGATCCTGGAGACCCGGGATCGAATCCCACATCGGGCTCCCGGTGCATGGAGTCTGCTTCTCCCTCTCCCTCTGCCTATGTCTCTGCGCCTCTCTCTCTCTCTCTCTATCATAAATAAATAAAAATTAAAAAAAAATTAGTAGAAAATTCAAGGACATGACAGTGCAGAGAAAAACATGAAACAATATTCCTTTTCTTCCTTGAAGCAAAGCAAATCTGAGACACAGTAGTACTGATGAGGCCTTACAGAATTCCCTAATATGCCTCTACTTCTCTCCCACTTTGGACTGAAGGCATATGCGTCGCTGATACTCTCAAGGTACAGGTGTTCAAAGATATCTTCCTGGAAATGAATATACCGTATTCTGTTGTACGAGGGGAGCAGATCGAACTGAAAGGAACTGTTTACAACTATAGAAGGTTTGGTATACGGGTAAGTAGGTGCTTATTATTCAAATTTATGGGAAATAAATAATAATAAGTATTATTCAAATAAATGGGAAAAAGGAAGAATGATTTTATTAGAATTCTATTCATGGAATTATCACATACACAAAAAACACAAACATTCAGCGAAGGGATGAAGGAAGGAGGAAGACTTAAGACAAATGTTCTTATGACTCCAATTTCAAGAAGCATCCGAGGGGCGGCTCAGTCTGTTGGGCATCCGACTCTTGGTTTCGGCTCAGGTCAGGATCTCAGGGTCGTGGGATCGGGCCCCGTGTCGGGCTCTGTGCTCTGCGTGGAGTCTGCTGTATGTTCTCTCTCTCCCTCTCCCCTCCCCCTGCTCTCTCTCTCTCTCTAAAATAAATAAATAGAAATAAAGAAGAAAACAAGTCCGTAAGATAACCGGTGTGCTGTGGAGGTTCTGAGAAGGACGAGATCCTAGGTAGCTCATCTATCGCCCTGGATTCTGAGCTTCTTGATGTCGCGCCTCACTACCCCTTCCTTCTCTCCAGTCCAGCCATTCATGCGCATCTTCGCTCTGTGGACCTTCCGTCCCCTCCGCAGTCCCCCCCGGCAGGCCTGTCGCCCTGTTACTTTGCAGCCGAGGCCCTGCAGCATCATTGAAACCCGCCGGCCATTGGCTTCACCCCTCTGTTGGCCACTAGCCCTCCGCTGTCCGGGTAGGACTTCATAAGCTACCCCTATAAGCACCCTAATTAAAATCATGCTAATTCCCTTAATTCTCTCTCACTCCAGGGTACACTCCCTGAACACTCCAACCGTGGTGGGACGGTTTGCCTTCCTTTTGTCAGCACACGGCTCAAGAGAATTATGCGATAGGGTGACTGATTTCATTTGAAAATAATAGTCTCCAGCCTTTATGTGGGAACTCAGTGTGGTCCAAAAATTTATGTTTTAAATTTTTTTTTTTAATTTATGATAGTCACAGAGAGAGAGAGACAGAGAGAGAGGCAGAGACACAGGCAGAGGGAGAAGCAGGCTCCATGCACCGGGAGCCCGACGTGGGATTCGATCCCGGGTCTCCAGGATCGCGCCCTGGGCCAAAGGCAGGCGCTAAACCGCTGCGCCACCCAGGGATCCCAAAAATTTATGTTTTATAAAAAGCTCCAATTCCACTCTTAGAAATGAATGGTTTCCAAAATTTTTGCTTACATGCTCTCTAAATGTTGAGGGGAAAACTGTGCAGCCCATTGACACGTTTCTAATTAGCACCTAAAATTTTTCAGCATAAGTTCAAGAAAATCTGAAAATCTATAACTTTGGAAATACTTAAATATTAATATTTTTTCCAAAGAAATGGTTATAACAAACTTTAAATGTATACAGCAGAATCTAAATACCATAGCATTCCATTTTAAAATACCCCAAAAATCTGTCATTAACAGATTGGACATGAGCTCGTTTTTCTCTGTGAACACATATTATTCCCATTTCACTCTCCTAATGTCGTACGCTTTATGCCTGAATGTTTCCGGTTGACCACCTCATACTTTGAGGCAACAAAAATATGTAGATATATCAAAGTTGAAATATTTTTTGAATTCTATAAGACTCTAAGTGTCAAGTAATTGCTTGTGGATTTAATTAAAATTATGTAAGGATTTTGATGCATATTGTCCTAAGTAATGCAAGGGAATCCGGCCTGCCTACGATGCTGAATCTTTTACATCTCTTTGTCCTTTTGCTTTATTCATTAGATCAGTGGCCAGCTATTGCCTGTGGGTCCAAACTGACCTACTGCCTCTCCTTTTACGACCTATAATCTAAGAACGGCTTTTACATTTTTTTTAAAGATTGAAAGAAAGAATAAACTTTCATGGCACATGATAATTATATGAAATTCAAATTTCAGTGTCCTTTTTTAAAAAAGATTTTATTTATTTCTTCACGAGAGACACAGAGAGAGAGGTAGAGACACAGGCAGGGGGAGGAGCAGGCTCCCTGCGGGAAACCCGATGCAGGACTTGATCCCAGGACCCCGGGGTCACGACCTGGGCCAAAGGCAGATGCTCCACCACTGAGCCCCCGGGGATCCCAGATTTCAGTATCCTAAATAAAGTTTCCTGCCACACTTACCTGTGTAGGTCTCAGCCATGGCAAAGCTGAGTGCTGTGACACGGTCCCCTGAAGCCGCACTTTCACGCCCTGTGCTGCTGCTCAGAGCACCACCAACTGCGCTGCCACGACTGTAACCCGACAGGGTTCTACGTGCCCTGCATCTCGCTGTACTGCCGTATTTTATTTACTTTTTAAATTATCAGTGCGTTTTCATCTTATCAAAGTAAGAGACAAGAACATCCGTGATATCTCAGGGTTAGGCCCTATCTTTCTTCCAGTGTAGGTCACATTTTCCTCTTTCTATCTAGTCATTTTGGGTTGGGCCTGGCACCTCCCAGTGGTGGATTCGCATGACTCTGGGGTCTATGGAGTCGCTCCGAAGAGCTTGCACTGGGCTTCGTGCCCTGGGCCCGCGCCGGCCTCTCGGAGCCCCCACTTCTCAGCCTGGTGGCTGCTGGGCCCCCTGCCCCCCGGGCCTCGGAGCCACGGGCCGCAGGCTGGGCCGGGGCTGGGCCGAGCTGGGCTGGGGCTGGGCCAGGCTGAGCCAGGGCTGGGCCGGGCCTTGGGGGCCGGGATCGATGCCCCGGTGTGTCCTCGGCCATCCACGAAAGCTGAACGGCTGCTATGGGTTTTCTTGACCTTCTAGATTTGAAAATTGAGCATATTCTGCTTTAAACATCGCTTTCTATTCTCAGCTTGCTAAGAACCTTTAGGATGAATTCATGCGGAACTCTTGCAAAGCACTGTTCTCGAACTGTCCGGCCTTGCCCTCCTGCATCCAGCCCCGGGGAGAGAATCACGGGCCTGGGGCCGCCCCGGGGGCTTCTCTAACACCCGCCCAGCCCCCAGGTTGCTGTTCCCCTAAAAAGATCACAAAGAGGGAGCCAGAAATTTCCATTTTTGAGAAACCCTTCAAATTTGTTGTTGAAGGTCGGCACTCTTTCTTGTTTACCTGCTTGATTTATTCAGCATCTTATGGTTTTAGTCTTTGAGATATAGTTCTTAATTCTGACCGGTTGCTAGATTTTGGGGTGAAGATGAACAAATTTCCATTATTTCGGTCAGAAGTCGGTGGGTACTAGGACTACCCCCGAGACAAAGATGAGGAAATGAGCAGTGAGAGGGCTCCTGTGGCCCGTTATTGTCACACAGTGAGAGGCGGAGCCAAGATTTGAACCTAGATCTTTCTGGAGCTGAAGTGTGGCTGTATAATGGGGTACAAGTGGGAAATCTAAGTGTCTTTAGTGTTTCCTAAAACCATCATTTGCCGAATCCCGAAGGCTGAGCTCAAAGATCCATAGAGGAGCGGGTCGGGCAGGCGCCTGCGCCCGGGGTTCCCACTGTCCGAGGTACAGGCGTCAAGAGACCGTGTCACAAATGGTCTCGGGTCAGGAACCGAGAAGGTTAGTGGCCTCACCCGTGACGCAGGGAAGCCGAGACGTCTCGGAGCCGGGCCGGCCCTGCCCGCCGCCCGCACGCGGCCCCCCAGCGCCCGAGTCTGTGGTGTTGAAGGTGAGGGCGGGCGATGCCCCGCCGGGGAGCCCCAGGGGTCACGGGACGCCGAGGCTACATCCAGGAGAGTTGGCACCCGCACGAACAGGGTCGGGCACAGCTTCCGTTCACGCGGCGCCCGACACGCGTGCTCACTGTCGCTGTTTCAGTTCTGTGTTAAGATGTCAGCTGCGGAGGGAATCTGCACGTCAGGAGGCTCGTCCGGTGACCACCGGGACCCAGACCCCTCCAAATGCCAGTCCCAGAGGTTAGAGGGCTCCTCCAGCCACCTGGTGACCTTCAGCGTGCTGCCCCTGGAAATCGGCCTCCACAACATCAACTTTTCCCTGGAGACTTCGCTGGGAAGAGAAATCTTAGTCAAAACACTACGAGTGGTGGTAAGAAACACGCGCTCTCCTCCGGTTCTGTTTAAGGACACTTGTCTCGTGGTGAAGGGGCCTAGGAGCCCCCTCTGATGAGCACTGAGCAGGCAGGGAGGCTTGAGCACGGTGCTGCCCCCCGGACACCGACATTGCGCCGTATGCTCTTTACAACGGAATTAAGATTTAAGGAACAGAGAAAGAAAAAGAACAATAACAACAACAACAACAAAAAACACTTTTTTCATTCTGAAAAAAAAAAAAGTTGTTGGCAACTTACCGTTTAGTGGATCAGAAAACACAGAGAAAATGTAAATATAACAAAATGCTAGATTTAGGGGAGACTGGGTGGGGGTTGTCTCACATTGTTATTCTCGCGACTTTTCTTGAAGTCCGACGCTATGATTTAAAATTGTAAGTCAGACAGTGATAACTTGCTTATCGCGGAACATACGGAGTAACGGAAAACCACAGGGAAGAACGCGAAAATCACAGATCACTCCCCCAGCCAGCGATCCCCAGCTGCGACAGTTGGTGAATGGCCTTCCACGTTTCTCGCCCCAACACGTTCCGAAGGCGTCTCTTGAAATCTAGGCGCCAGACGTCGCGGCAGGTGCTGGAGATCGACCGTAATAAGACACGGCCCGTGCGTTCACAGCTTAGAACTTACGGTCTAAGAAAATGTTCCATTTGCAAATGAGCAAACGGGCCAAAAAGGGAAGAAAACTATCGTTGCTAAGTAATATTGACCCACGTAGTCTGTCGGGTGTTTTCACGTTATCTCGGCAAGACTCCTCACGTGGCCGGTCGATGACGGGACGGGCCTGCTTGGGTCTTCAGTCTCTGGCTTCTGTTTTCAGCCGTGAAACCACTTCAGTAAACACGTACTGGCTTATGCTGTGCGAGGCGTGTTCTGATGCACCTCGCGTGGTGCTGCCCTGCAGACTCTGGGGACAGGCCTGGGTTTGAATCCTGTCCCCACCACTTCCTAGTGGTGTGACACTGCATAGGCTTCCTGATTCCTCTACGGTCGTTTTCCTCTTCTATCAAATGGGAGTAATAATAGCTTCCCCTCCATAGAGCACTTTTTGAGGTTAAATGAGCTAAAACGTACAAAGCATTTAGATCAGCTACCTGGCTTGTAATACTATTTAAGTATTTGCTCTGGTTATTTTGTAAATAGCCAGAAAATCTTGTTCTTGCGTGTATGGATATAAATATTTGAACATATGTTGCCTTCTAAAAAAAAAAAAAAGAATTAGTCAGCTGGAAAGTAGTCGAGTTGACCCAAGAATTCAGGTCATATAAGTTGAGTTATTTTCTTTCATTGTTTGAAGGGGGCATCTAAAATCCAGTGAACAAAATATAAAAAATAAATAAAATAAAATCCAGTGAATAAATTAAGGCTCTACTGGGGGAATTAAACTTAATCATATTCTTGACTGAATGTTTTCTGCCTTTTTAGCCGGAAGGTATCAAAAAGGAAAGTTACGCTGGTGTTACTCTGGACCCAAGGGGTATTTACGGTAGGCAAAGTGATTCTGTATTTTACATATTGTCTTTCGCGCCGGAAATTAAAGCGTAGAGGCAACCCGAAACGCTGCTTCTCAAAATGTTATCTGTCTGAAATAAGAAAAATCCACTTCTTAGTTCATTGACATTCTTGATAACATATGTTCTATCCCAATCTGGATGGGTTTAGAACAAAGAAAAAGAATTCCATTAGTTTAAAGTGCAAAGCATTGAAACGGTAATGATTGGATCACCTCTCTTCGCTGTTGGTCATTTTGTATCTATCCCAATAATAATTCACAATATTTTCTTATAGAATCATCAATCCAAAGAACACCTAAGAAAAACCCATTTCTGTCCTTCTTTTTTAAAAAAAAATATTTATTTATTTATTTATTTATTTATTATTATTTATTTATGATAGACATAGACAGAGAGAAAGAGGCAGAGACACAGGAGGAGGGAGAAGCAGGCTCCATGCAGGGAACCTGATGCGGGACTCGATCCGGGACTCCAGGATCACACCCTGGGCCAAAGGCAGGTGCTAAACCGCTGAGCCACCCAGAGATCCCCCATTTCTGTCTTTTAACACACATTATTTGGAAACACAATAATGCTGATTAATCACTTAACTAACCCATTCCCCATTGTTCCTGCTTCCCTGTTTTTACCCTTCCATAAAGATAGTCTGAATCTTCTCACAGTTAGAATTTTGCAAATATCCGAGCATTTAATCAAGGCCCATATATATATATATATATATATATATATATATATACACACACACACAGACATTTATGCGTATGTATTTATAAAATTTAGAATATGTTCAATTAACAATTCTTTTCAACAACAAAAAAAGACAGCCCACCATAGTTCTTATTAAATGGTTAAAATCTGCTTCATGTGTCTTTTCTTTCAGTGATATAGCAAAGAAAAAAAGTTTACTTACAGATCAAGACCATCATACTCAGAGAGCCCTTCCTCTGGGGGGTGCAAAGACTTCGGGCCTGTACCTCTCAGTCAGCCGAGTCTCATAAGCCGACTAAGGATGCGCAGCAGAAGGCAAAGCCCCTCTTAGACGCACGCATCCTTAGGCTGTTTTCTTTGATTTTATCTTCACATAGACCCTCTTCCAGCCCATGGGCAGAGCTGGTAGAAGTGCCGAGGTCTGGGGCCTCCCGCAGTTACGTCCGGCCGCCGAGCCACAGTCCGTTGGCTCCTCTTCCTGTGTAGCCCTACGCCCCCTGTACTGACATACTCCTGCAAACCACTTTCCAAAACGGCCCTGTCGTGTAGTCCCAGGTGTGGACAGCAGGCCCGCGAGATGGGAATGGTCTTTTATCTGGGAATAGATCTCTTGAGCAAAAATCTTGGTTAAAAAAAAAAGTAATAGGGCAGCCCCGGGGCTCAGCGGTTTAGCACTGCTATCAGCCCAGGGCCTGATGCTGAAGACCTGAGATCGAGTCCTGCGTCAGGCTCCCTGCATGGAGCCTGCTTCTCCCTTTGCCTGTGTCTCTGCCTCTCTCTCTCTCTGTCTTTCATGATTAAATAAATAAAATCTTTTTTAAAAAAGAGAGATTACATAAGCTTAGGGTCTGATAAAAATCCTCGATTATTTTTAACTTCCTTTTTAAATTTTATTGTTATAATTATAAAAAAGGTTTTTATTTTTAAAAAAATTCCTGGGAGGCTAGTATTTTATAAATAGCCTGCAACTGGTGTTCCCTCAAAAATGCTGTGTAAATCTATGAAACCCCACCTCATACTGGTCAGAATGGCTAAAATAAACAAGTCAGGAAATAACAGATGTTGACGAGGACGTGGAGAAAGGGGAGCCCTCCCGCACTGTTGGTGGGACGCAAACTGGTGCAGCCGCTCTGGAAAACAGTGTGGAGGTTCCTCAAAGAGTTAAAAATAGAGCTGCCCCAGGACCCAGCAATTGCACTGCTGGGGGTTTACCCCAAAGATACAGATGCAGTGAAATGAAGGGGCACCTGCACCCCGATGTTCTCCGCAGCAACATGCCCAAGAGCCACACGTGGGAGGAGCCTCGGTGTCCATGGACAGATGATGGGTGAAGAAGATGTGGTCTGTGTACCCAATGGGATGGTACTCAGCCATCAGAAAAATGAAATCTCGCCATTTACAACGATGGGGATGGAACTAGAGGGTATTATGCTAAGTGAAATAAGTCAGTCTGAGAAAGACAATTGTCATTTGATCTCACTCATGTGGAATTCAAGAAACAAAACAGAGGATGATAGGGAAGGGGGGAAACAGTATAACCAGATGAAATCAGACAGGGAGACAAACCTATTAACCATAGGAAACAGCCTGAGGGGTGCTGGAGGGGACGGGGTAGGAGGGACGGGGTAACTGGGGGAGGACGGGCATGGAGGAGGGCACCTGAAGGGACGAGCACTGGGTGTTCAGAAGCCTGATGAATCACGGCCTCCACCTCTGAAACTAATAATACATGATATGGTAATTACCTGAATTCAAATTAAAAAAGAATTCTGTGTAAATCTAATAATTTTCTTAAATTCCAGGTGTCATTAGTAGACGGAAGGAGTTCCCATACAGGATACCATTAGACTTGGTCCCCAAAACAGAAGTCAAAAGGATTGTGAGTGTAAAAGGTAAATTGACAAGTGTTGTTTTTATTTCTCCTTTCCCTTTATGCCTCAAACAACAATCAAATATCCTGATTATTGTTTCTCCTCTCGTCTGCTCCGCCGCGTATGCACATCCACCGTTAGGGGAACCTTGCTCCTTCCTCACCTTCAAACCAGCAACCACTTTTCTGACTATTTTCTTCCATTGGCTTAATGTAGGGGGACTTTGTTCTCCCAGCTTGGGGGGCTGTCGTTGCCCTCAAGGCTTCTCTCGGGGTCTCCACGACCTCAGGGAGCACCGTTGGGCGCCCCCGGGGATGCAGCGCTCTGCTGGACGGCCGGGCCACGGGGTTCCCCCCACGCTGGGCTCCCCTCCCCGGCCTCCCCCTTGGGTATCCCTATGCCGGGCTCCCCCCTGCCCCAGCCTCCCCCCAGCCCTCCCTACCCCCGCCTCTCCCCCCCCCCGCCCCCAGCCGCTCCCCTCAAACCCCGGAAGGTTTGCAGGGGCGGCGGCGTCCCTGGCTTCCCCCGGGTCCCCGGCCACTGTGATCCCATCTGTGTGACCCGGATCCTGGGGCGGGCCCGGCACCACCGCCAGGCTGTCCGCTCTGCTTGCTGTGAGCAATTGACTGAGGAGGCTTCCCGCGTCCAGAGCTGGCAGGTTGAAGGGCAATGAACTGGCCGCGTGGGCTCCGCAGTCTGCGGCCTGCTGAGCGTGCCCTCTCGCCAGCATATTCCAGTGGCATTTCCAAAAAGATTTTCATTCATTTATTCATTGATTTATTTATTTGAGAGAGAGCAAGCGAGCAAGCACAGGAAGAGGGAGAGGGGGAAGCTGACTCCCCCCCGGTGGCATTGTTAAGCCTGTTTCTTTTATCCATTTATTTTTAAAGATTTTATTCATTTATTTGACAGAGAGAGAGAGAGAGCGAGAGCATAAGCAGGCAGAGTGGCGGGGGGAGGGAAGCAGGCTCCGCGGTGAGCAGGGAGCCGCCGCGGGACTCAACCCCAGGAACCCAGGGTCATGACCTGAGCCCAAGGCAGACGCTTCACTGACTGAGCCACCCAGGTCCCCTTGGTGTTTCTTTTACATTCATATTCCTAACCAGAGCTTTTTGTGTCTCCCCAGCTAAGGAGTAATTCAACTGCCTGGATAAACGGGAAAGAAGGGGGGCACCTGGGTCGCTCGGTCTTGATTTCAGCCCAGGCTGTGATCTCAGGGTCATGAGATCAATCCCTGCATCAGGCTCTGCACTGGGTGTGGAACCTGCTTAAGACTCTCTCTCCTGCTCTCCCTCTGCCCCTTCACCCCTTGTCCCCTTGCCGCCACGAGCTCCCTCACACGTGCTCTCTCTCTCTCAAGAAAAGAAAGAAGAGGGTTAGTTACTCTTCTATTTAAAATACACCATTCCTCAGAGGTTGATGGAAATTGATTGTGTCTACCTTGACTTGTTTGTTTGTTTACTACAGGAATGCTCATGGGTGAGGTCATGTCTGCCGTTCTGAGCCAGGAAGGCATTGACATCCTCACCCACCTCCCCAAGGGGAACGCGGAAGCAGAACTGATGACCGTTGTCCCGGTGTTCTACGTTTTTCACTACCTGGAGGCAGGAAGTAATTGGAATATTTTTTCTCCTAATTCATTAATGAAAAAGCAGAGCCTGAAGAATCAGCTGAAACAAGGTAAAAAAAATTCTATTTTACATATTGTGCATAAAAATCTTGTGATTTTTAAACTAAGGGTGCAGTCAACTAATATGTGAGTTTTTATGAATCATACCAAAGGGGAATTGTAAAGCTTTTCTGCAAAAAAGAAAAATCACGAGATAGACACAACGATATAAATAAATACTATTTTCTGTAGCATTTTGGCCTCCCTTACCAAAATGCCTGGAAGAGAGACAAGACCCCTGCTTTCCAACCTCAGCAGAGCGCTTCCTTCCCTCTTGAGTGAGCTCAGAATGTTCCACTTGATAATTCCCAATTCAAGCGATTCATGATTCCCACACTTTGGGGAAGTTGAGGGTTGGCACCAGAGCACACGCTCGCCGCCCGCACCCAAGGGAAGGCCCCTTGCCGGGAGCCCGTCAAGCACTGGCCGTGTGGACGGCGGGCAGGGCAGCACGTGTCTTTCTCCGGTGCCTCCTAGGGATGGTGAGCATCACGTCCTTCCGGAACGCCGACTACTCCTACAGCATGTGGAAGGGCGGAGACGCTAGCACCTGGTAAGCAGAAGGCCTTCGTGCCCATTCTCATCCGACAGGTGCCCACCAGCCGCGGAGGACGATGAAGGCTGTGCCCGACTAGTCCTTACCCCGCGCGGCTCACCGTCCTGGCCCAGGCCTCTCCCATTTCCTACCTGGGTCACTGTCCTTCCAGCCTCAGCTCTCCCCACTTCGTCTACACTGAGCCCAGCAGCTGGCGTCGCCCCGCTCACAGCATAAGTCAGGGCCCCCGCTCAGAGCCCTCTGGGAGCTCCCCATCTTACCCAGAGTAAAAGCCAAACTCCCTGCCATGAACCACGAGGCCCTGTGGGGTCCACTCCTTCTCACTTCCCAGCTGCACCCCGACTGCTCCCTTTCATTCCGCTCAAGCCCTCTGGCCCTTCAGGTTCCTTGAACATCCCGGGCGCTTCCGTCTCAGGGCCTTTGCACCGACTGTTCCTCTGTCTGAAATGCTCCTCGAGTATCAGGGGCTGGTTCCCTTCGTCCCTCGGGTCTTTACCAAAAGTCAGTGCGGCCTCTACAGATCATTCTGTCTAAAATTGCATCCCTAAAAAAAATAATAAATAAATAAAATAAATAAAATAAAATAAATAAAATAAAATAAAATAAATTGCATCCCGTTCCCATCCCCACATTTCATATCCTGCTCCCCAGCTTTCCATTTCTTCTTAAAATTGATCGTTAACATTCTTACTTATCTCAGTAGGATGTAAGCTCCCCGGGGGCGGCTGCACGTGTGCCCAGTGCCGGGCGCATACCTGGCACACGGCAGGTGCTCACTAAGTGCTCAGCGAAGCAGAACAACTTCCTCGTTTCTGATGACGGGAGGGCAAGCGCCCCGTTAACGGAGGGTGCACGTGGCAGCGTGTCTTCTGCAGACTCTGTAGCTCAGCCCTGTAACTCGTGAGAGGCCCCAGGATTCCACCCTTGACCGCCTTCCCCCTGCAGTCCCACCTTCCCCCCGGATCCATAATTCCTGGCTCCCTGTGGATGCTCCTGGGCCTAACTTCTTTCCTAAGCTCCAGATCCACATTTCTAGGGACCTGGGCGCCAAAGGCCCTTCAGCCGTGACCCATGCCAGCCCAGTCTTCTGTCTGGGTTTCCTTGATCCGTGGGCAGCAAATACTCTTCACATTCGGACCTTCCCTTTGCCTGTGGCTCTGCATCCGGTCGGTCACCACGTCCCACGGGCTCTACCTGAAAGCGGGTCTAACCCTGTGTGGGCAGCACACGTGAAGACGTGCGGGCCCCGGAGCACGCCGGCCAAGGACAGCAGCAGGGACGCGGGGCGCAGGGCTTGGGGACCAGCAGAGGACCAAACGCCCCCTCGCCCGAGGACGCGCAATAGCTTCTCAGTTAATAACCGAGGCCTCTGGGAGTTCTGGGCCAGACTGAGTGGATGTTCAGCCAGAAGCACAGAAATATTCGGGTATCGTCCCACTCACTCCCCGAGTTCCCTGGGAGAAGCTTGCACAGAGGAAAATGGCCAGTACCCGAATACTTTCAAAGTATTTTTTTTTTTGAGAACTACAAGGAAGGTAACAACAAAAAAAGGGGGGGGTACAAAAAATCATTTTAATGGTTTGGGTTTTTTTAAGATTTTATTTATTTATTTATGAGAGGCCTAGAGAGAGAGGCCGAGACCCAGGCAGAGGGAGCAGCAGGCTCCGTGTGGGGAGCCCGACTCAGGACTTGATCCCGGGACCCGGGGGTCACGGCCTGGGCCGAAGGCAGTGCGCAGCCACTGAGCCACCGGGTGCCCCAATATCATGCATTTTATTTTATTTTATTTTTTAAATACTTTATTTATTCATGAGAGACACACACAGAGAGAGAGGGAGAAGCAGGCTCCCTGCAGGGAGCCCAACGTGGGACTCGATCCCGGGTCTCCAGGATCACGCCCTGGGCCGAAGGCAGGCGCTTAACCGCTGAGCCCCCCAGGGATCCCCGTAGAAAGAAAAATGAAAATGAAAATTTTTAAGTGAGAGGGAGCGTCAAGGGCTGACTCAGAGCATCTGAGGAGCGGGCGGCTGTGGGCGGCTCAGGCTGAAGGGCCGCGGGGCCTTGGCAGGAGAAGGGGCGTCATGGGGCCGTGAGCCAGATGCTCGGGGAGCTCGTGACAGATGTTCGTGGAGGCCGAAATTGCTGCGAAAAGCAGAAGAACGAAATCAAGAAACCTCGGCGCCCGGGACGGCGGCGGCCCCTTGCGAGGGCGGGTGGGTGGCGGCGCGAGGGGCGAGCTGGGCGCTCCCGTGGGCGCGCGGGCGGACTCGCAGGCCTCAGGCGAGGCTCCAGGTCTCCCAGCCTGTCCACGCCGCACCATCTGGAACCTTAGGGTTTTTCTCTCCCGTGGCTCGTGTCCGTCCGTCAGGGCCCGACTCCAGACTCTGCCCCACCGCTATTGTCTTCAGCGTCAGAGTAATTTTGTTGTTGATCCTCAGGCACCGGGTTCGCGCGCTGGTCACGGCGAGGCCGCGGCCGCAGAGGATGCGTCGTTCACATTTGCCGACGGAGGGTTTTTGCGGCTCTTCCTAGAACCTTCTCTTTCCTTGTGAAGTGCTACAACCTACTTTAGAATTGTTTGATTTAAAATAGTATTTTTCTTTTAAAGAATAAATGTTGTGTTAAGTAAAGACACACTATGGGGGCGCCTGGGGGCTCCGTGGTCGAGCGTCCGCCTTCATCCCCGGGGTCCTGGGATCGAGTCCCGCACGGAGCCTGCCTCGCCCTCTGTGATGAATAAATAAATACAATCTTAAAACACACACAGACACATAAAAAACACTATAAATTGAAAGCCAAAGGGGTCGACCACCTAAAAATTATTTGATTTTGCCTTAAAGGTTAACAGCGTTTGCTCTGAGAGTGCTCGGACAGGTGCAGAAGTACATAGGCCAGAACCAGAACTCAATCTGCAATACTCTGCTGTGGCTGACGGAGAACTGCCAACTGGAGAACGGATCTTTCAAAGAAAACTCCCAGTACCAACCAGTAAAGTTACAGGTAAGGAAACCAAACGCACAGCTGAGCATCAGTTTTACTGGCAAGTCGGAATTCCGTTCCTATTCCGGCAGTTTGAGGGGCAGAGAAGGTTCGCGCCCCTGTTGGGAGCGCCCCGCGGGCCGCTCAGCTCGACAGGGCGGAGGAGGGACGGCTGTGGCCGTGCCGGGGTGCGCGGGGGCCGGTGCTGGAGGACCCAGAGCAGGGCCCTGTCCCCTCCGTCCACGCGCCCCCGGTGTAGACTCCCAACCGCAAGTCCTGAGCCTCACGGGCGGAGGCTGCGGGGTGTTGCCCTCAAAGGTGGGGCCCCGTTCACGTCCTGTTAGTGGGAGAGGCCGGGGTCGGGCCCCAAGCTGCGGGGCCAAGCGCTGTGCGGGATGAGGCCCACGGTCCCTCCCCACGACTCCGCTCCGGTGCCTCCTCTCCGTCTCCTCCCACCGTGATCCTTCAAAAGCCAACAGTGTTCCGGGGTGCTTTGCTTTGGGTTGTTTTTCTAAGATCTTATGATTCATTCCTGAGACACGGAGGGGTGAGCGTGGGACATACAGCTGGGGGGGTGGGGACCTGCAGGCAGGGCGTCGGGGTGCCCAGGGAGCATTGGGGTGCCCGGGGGGTGTCAGGGTGTCCAGGAGGGTATCGGGGCATCCAGAGGAGAGTCGGGGTGCCCAGGGGGCATTGGAGCACCCGAGGGGGGCATTGGGACACCCAGAGGGGAGTCAGGGTGCCCAGGGGGCTGTTGGGGTGCTCAGGGGGGTGTCAGGGTGCCCGGGGGGAATCAGGGTGCTCAGGGGGTGTTGGGGCACCCAAGGGGGAGTGGCATGAAGGGCAGGGGCCCAGAGTGCAGAGATGGCATCGGAACCAGGGCTCAACAGGACCACAGGGTGGGGGTTGGGGGCCAGGATGCCCAGGTCCAGCTGAGGCCCGGGGCCGCCCGGGGAGGCTGCGGGGCGAACGGTCGCCTCACTTGCGGGACACCGGCTCAGCCTCCGTGGGAATCATTCCTTATTTTCAGGGGACTTTGCCTACTGAAGCCCACGAGCACTCCTTGTACCTCACGGCCTTCGCGGTCATTGGAATTAGAAAGGCCTTTGACCTGTGCCCACTGCAGGTAAGGCCTGGCCTCCGCCCGCAGCCTGGATGCCCGTGGCCTGGGTGCCTGTGGACTGGGTGCCCGTGGCCTGGGTGCTTGTGGCCTGGGTGCTTGTGGACTGGGTGCCCGCGGCGTGGGTGGGGGCCGCCTTCACTGGCCTCTGCTCCGAAACCCCAGGGCCACATGGTAGCAGCACGTGCTGCAGCCCCTCCAGCCCCTGCTTGCGGGCCCGCGAGGACACGGAGGTGCCGGCGGGGTCGCTGTCGCCGTCTGGGCTATGGAGCCGTGCGGCGGGCGCGGGGCCGGTCACCTGTGGCCGGGGTCCAGGACGCGGCGCCCCCGCTGCCTGCCCGCGTGTCTCGTGAGGCCACCCGGTGCGCGTGGCGCTGGCCTGCAGCCGAGGCGCCTCGTGGCGGGGACTAGCCGGAGCTGCGCCAGCTCGTCGGCGTCCTGGGCCCGGGTTGCACGCGGAGGCCGGGCTCCGAGGGCTCGCCTGACTGAGTCGGCGTGGGCCTCCCGGGAAGGGACGAGCGCCCGGCCTCGCGCCCCTGCCTGTAGATCAGCAATGGCTTGGACTCGGCCCCCGAACCCGCGTGGACGCGGAAACACCCGGGGGTTGGTGGGGCTGCGGCTGCAAAACCAAATACCCCGTTGCTGTGTCCCAAGGCCATGGCCCCTGTGCCCCGGGGCCTGCAGGAGGCGGGGCCTGAGGGCCCCCCCAGTGCCTCCCTGCGGCCCCTCCGCCCCCCGGGCCCTCCCGGCTGGGCCGCCTCGTGGGCGGGTGGCGGGCCCTGGAGCCCAGGCGTCCTCTGCTGTCGCTTCCAGAAAATCAGCGCGGCCCTCACCAGGGCGGACGCCTTCCTGCTCGACGGCGCGCCCTCAGCCCGCAGCACCTTCACGCTGGCCATCGCCGCCTACGCGCTTTCCCTGGGGGACAGGACGCACCCGCAGTTCTACTCCATCCTCTCGGGGCTGAAGAGGAAAGCTTTGGTTAAAGGTACGGCTCGGTCCTGCCCGGGCGCCGAGTAGTGACAGGCGGCGGGCACGCTCACTCGGGGCACGCTCACTCGGGGCACGCTCACTCGCGGAGCTCGAGCAGGGCGCGCTCCCTGGGCGAGTGTGCAGGACCCTGGGCACCACGCCCGGCTCTGGGCTCCAGAGCTAAGGCCACAGACCGGAAGGAAAACGGGCCAGGTCCTCTGACACAGGGTCGTTACGGGGACGGACGCGTGTGGGGAACAGGTTGGCGGGAACCGATACGAAGGACGTGGGAGCAGGGAGGGGACCCGGGACTGGGTGTGGCCTGTAACCCACAGCTCCCTGGGAGGAGCCCTGGGGACGCGGGGGCAAGGATGTTCCGGAGGAGCCGCAGGTGCACACACCCGACACGGGACCACCCACCTGCACACACCCGTGCCCGTGCACAGCTCCCAGCCGCCCGAGAACCTGGCCGAGGTCGGGCCTGCACATTCCCCTGGCGGCTCTGGTTAGGGCCCCGCACGGCCTGCCTGCGTCCATCGCCCGTCACCCGGCGCCCGGGGCCCCCCGGAAGCCCAAGCCTTCAACTTCCACTTTGAGTAGAAAGGGAAGGAGTTGGAGGATTTTTAGCGGTTGGAGGGTTTTTAGCGGCGAGGCGTGCCCACCGCCAGGTGCCTGCACTCTCCACCCTGGCTTGTTCTGCACCCGCCTCGCTCTGTATGTATTTCATCCTGGAAAATAAAAATTCCGCTTCCTCTGGGTCAAGAGTATAGAAATAGAAAGAGGGTGGCAGTGACCTCCGGCCCTCTGCTGGCTGAGGTTCTCCAACAGCTTCATAAATGCAACATGGGGGGTCCCTGGGTGGCGCAGCGGTTTGGCGCCTGCCTTTGGCCCAGGGCGCGATCCTGGAGACCCGGGATCGAGTCCCACGTCGGGCTCCCGGTGCATGGAGCCTGCTTCTCCCTCTGCCTGTGTCTCTGCCTCTCTCTCTCTATCATGAATAAATAATAAATAAATAAATGATCTTTAAATAAATAAATAAATAAATACATAAATAAATGCAACGTGAGGTGAACCAGTATCTACGAGGTTTGACCTCTCTTTTTTTTTAAGATTTTATTTTATTTATTCATGAGAGACACACAGAGACACAGAGAGAGGCAGAGACACAGGCAGAGGGAGAAGCAGGGAGCCCGACGTGGGACTCGATCCCGGGACCCTGGGGTCATGCCCTGGGCTGAAGGCAGGCGCTAAACCACTGAGCCCCCAGGCCGCCCTGAGATTTGATTTCTGTCATCATTTTAAAATGACCGAGTCTTAAAAAAATAATAATAAAAATACAAATGAATCCTAATACATACCTCCCACCACTCGTATAGGACTTTAAAAACAACACAAAGGAATTGTCTTGGGTCTTGTAAGATAGGGATCATAAAATCACAGAAGTTACGGACAGATCTTAATAATTCAAATAACGTCGCGCTGCAGGTATCTTTAAAAAGCGAATTTTTCAGCCTAAATACAGCAGCTGCTCTGAGTCCCTGAGAGGGAAGGGAAACATTGCCCAAACTCACGCAAATAACATAATCATGAATTGCAGACAGTTATGTCAAAACCTCGACTAATCTTCAAAAACGATTTCCAAATATGCCTTACCGGTTTTGTTTTTTTTTTAAGATAATCTGTTCAAAAAACGATGTAGAGTGACAAGGTTCAATTACTAGAGCCGCCACGAGTGTAATTTAGACCCTGACTTACGGGAAGCATCGCACGCGTGGGATTCTTCACATTGGAAAGCGATTGTGAGACTGAACCAAGGTGTCGGGCACGAGCTCCTAATTGCCGGGACGTGGATTTTTTTTTTTTCCTTTTTCTGTCGGGGAGAAAACTTGTCCAGTTCATCCCCAGTGTCCGTGGTAACAGCAAGGCTTCCTGCGCGTGCGGTGCTTCCTGGTGGATTAAACGTCCCATTTGGGGTCTCAGCTGAGTTTCGCTGCCAGGGAACAGTCCTACATACCCGGGGACCCGAAAGTCAGTCCCTCGGGGCTGAGGGAAGGGTCCCGATGGGCACGGTCAGTCCCTCGGGGAGCAGGGAGCGGACCTGGGCGCTCTGGGTGCTCGAGGGACCAGTTCACGGAACTTCCCGCTCCCGAGTGGGTGTGGACTTTGCCCCACGACCTCGCCCGGCAAAGACAAGCAGCACAGTCTGAGGGGCCCCACCCTGTCCTGGTCACCTCGGCGAGCTGCTCCTCGCAAGCGAGTAAGAAACGTCCAGACGCAAGCGGCCACCACCACAAGAAACTTCCGGAAGCCCGCTACACTCACGTCACCTCCACGCGTTTCTCGACATTAATGAATGCGATCTGTTGACGTTCAGGTGACCCCATCGTCTACCGTTTTTGGAAGGACGACCATCAAGAGCCAGAGAGGTCCACGGCGACCGCGGGCACAGCTCGCACGGTGGAAACCACCGCCTACGCTTTGCTCGCCTGTCTGAGCCTCAGAGACGTCGCCTACGTTAACCCGGTGGTCAGGTGGCTGTCTGAGGAGCAGAGGTACGGAGGCGGCTTCTACTCAACCCAGGTAACGCGCCCCCGTCCTGCCGTCTTGACTGCATGTGTCGCAGCGGCGCGACCTCCGCACGCGCACACACGGCAGATACGCCCCAGGTCCCTTCACGGGGTTAGTGGCACGGCCAGCGTCAGGGCTCCCGTCTCCGGACTCTAACCCTAGTGCGTCCCTTAGGGATCCTGTTTTTTTTTTTTATTTTATTTTTTTTATTTTTTTAAATATTTATTTATGATAGTCACATAGAATGAGAGGGAGAGAGGCAGAGACACAGGCAGAGGGAGAAGCAGGCTCCATGCACCGGGAGCCCGATGTGGGATTCGATCCCGGGTCTCCAGGATCGCGCCCTGTGCCAAGGGCAGGCGCCAAACTGCTGCGCCACCCAGGGATCCCGTTTTTTTTTTTTTTTTTAATTTTATGTATTTATCCATGAGACCCCGAGAGAGGCGGGGGCCCGGGCCAGGGGTGGAAGGCAGGACTCGATCCGGGACCCGGGGTCACGGCCTGGGCTGCAGGCAGACGCTGTGCCCCGAGCCCCCGGCACCCTCCGTCCTGACCCCACTGACCACGAGGGCCCACGAGTCCGTCACGTCCTCTGCAAGGGCCCTGTGGACAACGCCCCACGCTCTCTCCCCACAGTGAGTGACACGCACGTGGGCTCTTACAGCTGAGGAGCTCCCGGCGAAGGCCGTGGCGGGCGCGCACCCAGGGTCCCCGCACGGGTGTCCGGGGTGACACGGCGTGTCTGCGTGTTTAGGGAACCGAGAGCGAGGGCGTCCTGCACGAAGACTGCGGTGCCGCTCGAGTTTGGGGGGCCTTGGGGACGGGCGTGGGCCTCGCAGGGAAGGGGTTCACATGCCACGGCCCATGACGGGGAGGGGGGGCCATAAGGGACAGCCCTGAGCTGCTCATGTTCCCCGGCTGCATAGACGAGGACGAGGAGGCCGACAAGAACCACATTCATCCATCTGTTCCTCCATCAACTACTTGTCCCACAGCGCGCGTGGGTACCTGCCACAGGCCACGGGCGCCCGGAAACACTGGGCGGGGAGGGGACACAGATGGCTTTGGGGGGGACGGGGGCGGAGGACCTCCGGGGGGCACCTGCAGAGACGAAGGACCCAGTCGGGCACGGACTCGGTGGCAATGTGCACAGTGACTCACCTGGGGGCAGACACTCGGGGTGCTCCAGGCCCCTGCCCCAGGGCCCCGCTTCCTGCCGCTCCCTCCTCCTCCCTCCTCCTCCAACCCCTGCTGCACCTCCCCCACCCCTCGCCCTCCTCTCTACCTTCTCCTCCCCCTCCCCCTCGTCTTCCCATCCCTCTCCTCCTCCCTCTCCCCCACCTCCCCTCCCTCTCCACCTCCCCTCCTCCTCCCCCTCCACCTTCTCTTCCCCCTCCTCCTCCTCTTCCTCCTCCTCCTCCCTCTACCTTCTCCTCCCTTCCCTTTCCCCCTCCACCTTCTCCTCCTCCTCCCCTCCTCTTCCCTCTCCCTCTCCCCCACCCCCTCCTCTCTACCTTCCACACCCCCTCCCCTTCCTCTCTACCTTCTCCTCCCTCTCCCCCTTGTCTTCTCCTCCCTCTCCTCCTCCCCCTCCCCTCCCCACCTCCCTCCTCCCCTCCACGCCCTTCCCCTCCTCGCTACCTTCTCCCCCTCTGCCCCTCCCCGTCCTCGCTACCTTCTCCTCCTCCACCCCCTCCACCTTCTCCTTCCCCTCTGCTCCCCCTCCCCCTGCCCCTCCTCCACCTGGGGGCTCTTCACCAATGTCACTCAGGCAGCGGGAGTTGCAGCACGGGTTAGCGCATCCCGCATCCCCACCCCGTAAGGAAGAGTACTGGTAACTAGAGATTACGTGAATGAGCTAAACCTGTTTCTGTGCCGATAGGATACAATTAATGCCATCGAGGGCCTCACAGAATATTCACTCCTGATTAAACAACTGCACTTGAACATGGATGTCAAGATTTCTTATAAGCATAAAGGCGACCTCTACCATTATAAGATGACCGAGAAGAATTTCCTGGGGAGGCCAATAGAGGTAAATGAAGGGCTTTTCACAGTATTTTATAATTGGGTGCGACCTTTGCAATCATGTGTTCCACTCTTATTTCACAAATGTATCACTTTCCTACTTAAAAGCGTACTGCGCACCTGTTGCACCTGGGCACTGGGGGGTCCAAAGCAAAGTATTTGAAGAAACTGTGTGCTCGGGAGGCAGTTGTTTTAACAGACAGTGAAGAACGAGGGCCTTGACAGGGATGTGGAAGGACGTGGAAGGACAGAGCAGGGCCTCCAGGCCCAAGGGGAGAGGTAGGAACCTGTCCAACACGTCCAGATGTGCAAGTTAATTCGGGAGGAATCAGACTGACGTAGGCAGGTGAGGAAAAGGGAAGAACGTTCCAGACGCACCAGTGCACACAAGGGTGCAGAGGTAGAGGAACAGAGAAACCGCACTTGGGCGGACGCCGGACCCCTGAGCCACAGAGAGAGGCAGAGACCCGCGTGGGGAGCCCGAGGCGGGACTCGATCCCGGGACCCCGGGGTCACGCCCTGGGCCGCAGGCAGCTGCTCAGCCGCTGAGCCCCCCGGGCGTCCCTGGATTTTTTTTTTTTTAAATGAAAACCTTGATGGCCTACAAAATTTCCCAAAGACAAGAACATGTTGGAAAAACTAGTTGGTGTATCAGTAAGAGGAGCTGCCGGTAAACGGTTGCTAAGATACATTTTTCTAATTGCCACATTTTAGATGCTTTTAAATCATATTCAAATATACAAATAACTGGAATAGTTTTTAACTGCCTATATCCTCCACGAGTCCATGTTTAGGAAAAGTAAATACGCATGAGAGATAAAATTTAATGCAAAAAAAAAAAAAACCCTATTGGCTCATAGGGAAAAAAAAAGACAGATATGAATATGGGTAGGAGCTATGGACATATTCCAACACTTAAAAATCCAGAGACTTCAAATAAAAATCTGCTTCCAGATGCTCTTGAAAAACCGAATGATCTGGCACATGGAGCTGGCAGCGGTGGGCCCTCTTCCGTGTGCCTGGGGCCTGCCGGCCACGTGGCCTGTGTGTGCACTTGGTCGTGCTTTGCACCCGGGCCTTGGCAGGTGCACGTGCTCATGGCGCCCGGGTTGGCACCGCGTCCCCTTTGTCGGGAGGTTCAGCGGGAGGCAGCGGGGCCTGCGGGGCACGGCGGGCAGCTGGGGCGCGCTGGCCTCAGCTCTCTGCAGGATAATGCCGCCAGGGCGCCCTCGCCGTTTTTTTTTTTGATCGTCACTGTTTTTTTTTTTTTATTATTTAAATTCAATTTGCCACCGCATAGTCTGACACCCAGTGCTCCTCTCATCGTGCGGCCTCCCAGTGCCGTCACCCAGCTACCCGCCCCTTGCTATGCTTAAGTAATTGAAACCTCAGCCCATGGTACCATGGGTGTATGAGACCCCGGCGACGCGTACCTGGCTCTGAATTCTCCACGCCAGCGGGTCCTGAAATACAATACACAAGAAAGGTTTGGGGACAAGCAAGTGTGGGAACCTGCCGCTGACGTGAGGCCAGACAGCTGTTCCGCGGGGGACAGCCCATGCTCCACAGGCACGTGAGCCAGTGTGGGGACTGGGGAGGAGAGCAGAGGGCCGGGCCGGGCCGGGCCGGGCCGGGTGCCGCGTGCACTTCCCTGCCTCGCTCGCCGCCTACCTCCACGGGACCCACTCCTCAAGCAGCCTCCTGGTGCGCTGCCTTTGCAGTGGGCGCTGCTGTGTTCCAGCAGGGACACTAGGGAAGTTGGCCTTTTTATGTACATTCACTAAAATTGAGAGGAAGGGCTGACGGCACATAATCCATATGTGGGGCACGTAAATCCCATTTGCACTGGTGCGCTACGTGGGGAAGGACGGGCCGCGCACTTGGCGAGAGCCGGGAGCCAGCCCTTGGGCCCCTTGCTCACTGGTCCGTCCCTTGCTGTCCACAAACCAGGAGGCCCTCGGACGACGGGGCGCCCCGGAGAGGAGTTTGTGCCTTCGCGCCCCTCCTAGAGGATGAGAGAAGAGCATCAGCTCCCGAGGGTTCGGCAGGCCTGGGTGGGGTGCTGGGGTGTGGGGTGCGGGTGGGGTGCCAAGGGTTTTGGTAAACAGGCCAGCGCGAAGTGCAGGAGACACGGCACCGAGAGGCCGTGAAAGGAGTTTACTCTGTTGGCAAAAGGGGACGAAGGTCCAGCTCTGTCATAGCCGTACACCCGGGGGGAGGTGACCAGAGGCGGCTCCCGAGAGCTGGCTTTGCTGGCCGGCCCGGGAGAGCCCAGACGCCGTCCTCGCGTGCAGAGGGGGAGGCGGAATTCCCGGCGCGTCCGGCGTCCGTGTGCACAGGCTCGCTCTGACCGGTTGGATCCGAGAGAGGAAGCTGGCCTGGCGTTGTTCCGGCTCCTTCCTATCGAACAAGACAAGCAAGCACGGCTTCTCGTCCCCTGTCCAGGTGCCTCTCAATGATGACCTCGTGGTCAGCACTGGGTTCAGCAACGGCCTGGCCACGGTGCACGTAAGTATTTCACAGGGAGCCGACCTCAGGGATGCCCGCTTGCACGCAGCGACGGAAAGGCAGGGACTGGGCCACGGAGTCGGGGAAAGCGGGGCTTGGGTGACCTCGACCAGCGTAGGGTTCGTTCATCTAAGTCTCTTCCGCTCTCGGGAGCTGTCCTCACAACCGCCTTTTGCAGAGCCACCCTCTGGCTCCCGACGTGTATGTGCGCATGATGCGAGTGTGCGTACACAACACACGCACCATGTTTTCTGTGGTTGGTAACAGAGGCGCGCCCCGTTTATCCCGCATCATTGCGGATGGACGTATGTACGCAAGGGCTCAGGCTGCCCTCACTGTGGCCGTACACTGCACGCGCGTCCGTAGACAGCTTAGAAAAGCTCGTGACTGCCAAATGGCTAAAGTAAGACAGAGTCCATATTCTAAGCATAAATTAGCATTCTATCGATGATTCCAATGATGCTCGAATCTTGAGCACATTTATCCCTTCAAAGACTTTGTAAGATGGCAGGTTGGGTTGGTGGGGACGTGGACTGTCCACCTCTCTGTCGCTTCTAGGTACTCTCGACACACGCCCTCCCGCAGCGCCCTTGCCCTTCCATGCGCACCTGTGACGTGCTGTTTACCACGGTGGCGCGGGGCCCGGGTGAAAACCATACATCCTAGCCTTGTAATATTATGCGTAAAATCAGAGTGCTCGGGTTCAAGGGTCAGAGGCCTAGGAACTTTCCTGAACAGTCGGGTGCTCGGATTTGATTGCGTGGGATTTGGGAAGATTCTGGCTGGAGAGATGTTGCTTCTTTCCCCTCCTGGGGCTTCTCAGCTGTGCTGCAAACTGTGGGGTCTGCTGACAGTCCCAGCTACCGTGAAATGAGTCTTTACTGCACCCCATTTGCACTGGATTGTAGACACGATACCTCAGGCACACCATCTGCAGCAAAAGTGCTGCCAGTGTGCCTTCCCCGCTGTCCTACTCTAAATGAAATGCTCTTGTTCACTCGTCCCCACGTAGGTGACAACCGTGGTTCAAAAAACCAGTACCTCTGAGGAAGTTTGCAGCTTTGATTTGAAAATTGACTCCCAAGACATAGAAGGTAAAACGGCGTAGTTTGCACTGTAATCTTGTGCCCCGTTCTCCCCCTGCCCGAGGCCATCACATCCCTCTTCCTGTGGGTGGCTTCTCCCCTCCCGCTGCCCCCTGCACACCGCAGTCCTCCCCTAGCCGGGGCCCGGGTCGGGGGTGTGCTTGCTCCCGCCCCGAGAGCTCCCACCGGCGGCACGAAGACCTACTCCTACCGGCCAGTGAATCCAGGCATCAGCTCCTTCTCCCCCGACCTTCCCCAGACATGTTACCTTACGTAGCTCCTTCCTTCAGTTAGAAGTTCTTCGAGAGCCGAGAACTGTTATAACCGTTGGTATCGCCCGTAGCCATGAATTTCCACTAAGATCACTGGAAGTGGGGATCCCTGGGCGGCTCAGCGGTTTGACACCTGCCTTGCGCCCAGGGCGTGATCCTGGGATCCCGGGATCGAGTCCCACATCGGGCTCCCTGCATGGAGCCTGCTTCTCCCTCTGCCTGGGTCTCTGCCTCTCTCTCTCTCAGGAATAAATAAATAAATAAATATTTAAAAAATAAGATCACTGGGGGATCCCTGGGTGGCGCAGCGGTTTGGCGCCTGCCTTTGGCCCAGGGCGTGATTCTGGAGACCCCGGATCGAATCCCATGTCGGGCTCCCGGTGCATGGAGCCTGCTTCTCCCTCTGCCTATGTCTCTGCCTCTTTCTCTCTCTCTGTGTGACTATCATAAAATAAATAAAAATTAAAAAAAAAAAATAATAAGATCACTGGAAGTGCCAACTTCCAAATCATAGATCATTTTTAAGTGCGTTCAGAGACCATTTCGTCAATTATTCTCTTCCGACAGGTACAAAACAGCTCAGAGTGGCTCACTGTCATTTTTGTTTGCTTGTCTGTCCTTGTGTGTGCTAGCGTCCAGCTTCCGAGGCTACAGCGACTCGGATTACAAGCGCATCATAGCATGTGCCAGGTGAGCCTGTCTCCACCAAGGGGAGCGCGGACTTCGAGGTCTGACTTGTGCCGTTGTATTCTCTTTGTATCTTTTTGAATCTTAAGAAGCCTGTAAGGTGCAAAATCGTGCACTTTTTAACATGCAGGACATAACGGATATTCTTAGCTACTTCCTGTACAGAGCAGCTATGTTTTTGCTCATGGTTTTCCCTTCCACTTTCGGCCTTCTTCTAATTCAAACACTGTAATATTATTATTTTTTTTCTATCTCCCAGAAAGGTAGAGAGGAGATAGAAGTATTAGGAAAAGAAAAAGCAAAAGATTTTCTTATAAGCTGCTCCTAGTCTCCTACTTAGAAAAATCACACTCCGCCAGAAAAATCCCCGGCCGTTATCAGCCAGTGGTTCCCAACTCGGGCTGCACGTGGAGGTCAGCGGGAGAGCGCTCAGAACTACCCAGAGCTCTGGCCTCGCCCCTGGAGGTTATCCTGGCGGGAGCCAGCGGCTGACCCTCTGCCGACGAACCCAGACGCCTACATTGGTCTAACAGGGTCCTATTGCTGCCAGCTAACAATTTGCCAGACACTTAATGGTGAAAAAACCCAAATTTATTCTCTTCTAATTCTGGAGGCCAGAAGTCCTAAAATCAATGGGCTGGGTTCCTCCTAGAGGCTGTAGGGGAGGAGAGTCCACTTCCTTGCCTTTTCCAGACGGAAAATAACTGATCCCCCAGTTCAAGCGGAGCTTTTTCCCTCTGTTATCATTAAAAACCAAAAACCCACCAGCTCTCCCATTTTTACCCCCTCTGCCTTTTTCCTTAGCTCCCTCCTAGACAGACGATAGTCCTTAAAACAGTGTTTGAAAGATAAAGTATCCATTGTGGCAAACTTAGAAAACATAGAAAAGCATGGAAAGGAAAAGAGATCGTCACTTATATTCTCGCCATCCGGAGAAAGTAGCCGTGAACATTTTCGGGTATTTCCTTCCAGCCTTTTCCTGAACATGCTTATTGAGTCTCTTTCCAACATAGAACAAATTTTCTCTTTCAAATAGGCTCCACTAGAAAGGGAACAGGAATGAGAATCAATAGATTTACGCAGCTCTGGAGAGTGAACTAGTGGTGTGAGCTTGAACCAGTACCTAACCATCGTCCTCAGTTTCCTCAACTAGTTCATTAAAAGGACTGAATGACTTCTATGGTCTTTTCCAGCTCCGTTATTTAAAGTATCAGTCAGGGGGCCCCTGGGTGGCTCAGTCAGTTAAGCATCCGACTCTTGGTTTCGGCTCAGGTCCTGTTCTCAGGGTCATGAGATCAAGCCCCACATCAAGCTCTGTACTCAGTGTGGAGTCGGCTTGGGGTTCTCTCTCTCCTCCTCCCTCTGCTCCCCCCACTCATGCTCTCTCTCTCTCTCTCTCAAATAAATAAATCTTAAGGGACGCCTGGGTGGCTCAGAGGTTAAGCGCGTCTGCCTTCAGCTCAGAGCGTGATCCTGGGGTCCCGGGATTGAGTCCTGCATCAGGCTCCCTGCATGGAGCCTGCTTCTCCCTCTGCCTGGGTCTCTGCCTCTCTCTCTCTCTGTCTCTCTCTCTCATGAATAAATAAAAAAATATTTCTAAAAATAAAAAAAATCAATCTTAAAAAAAATAAAGTATCGGTCAAGTGAGCCAAGAGTTGGAATAGATGACCCAAAGATCTCTTGCAAATCTAAAATGTAGGGATTGCAATGCATGGGTTATAGAGAAGCAGGTAAGTGGAGGCCCGAATAAAAATTAAAGCCTACTAAGAAATAAGGCCTTGTCTTAAACAATCTTGTCCACTTATTTTCCTTTTCATTATCTTGTTTTATGAAGTGCTGTGGATTTTTCTGTATGTAAATTTCTTGTTCATTTTTTTCACTCATTTCTGATCTGGGATTTCCTTGTCCACTTATTTACTCCATTTCCTAATCTCTGATTTATTCCAGCTACAAGCCCAGCAAAGAAGAATCATCATCTGGGTCCTCCCACGCCGTGATGGATATCTCCCTGCCTACCGGAGTCAGCGCAAACATAGAAGACCTACGAGCTGTAAGTGTTCTCTTACGTGTTGTTCTGGATGCTGGGTTTTCTTTACTGCTTTCTTGTACAGATAAAGCTATTTCCTTTTCATTTTAACATATCACTTTCATAGAATCACCTAAAATATTCTTTCCAAACCAACAATCGACCTTGGTTTTGATTTTTCAAAGTAAAGTGGGGGCGCATCCTGGCCCAGTCTGAACAAAACGTGAGCGCGTATGACTACATGTCCAGACTTTTTCAAGGGGGGGAGCTGCTCTTCGACTTTTTGAATAGTGGATTACACCCCATGTCTAACACCCCCGATATCGGGTGAATGCATTTAAACAAAAAAGATCAACTTTAAAAAGAAAATAATGAAATTAAATGCAAGCTTTCCTGTCCTCGCTCAGCTTGTGGAAGGAGTGGATCAGCTGCTCACTGACTACCAGATCAAAGACGGGCATGTTATCCTGCAGCTGGATTCCGTAAGTGCCACCTCCTACCCGCGCCCGTTTCCCATCACTACCCGGAACTTACGGGCTTAAGGCGCTGAGTCTCTTCTCTCCCATAATTTCCTCAAACCCTGAATCTACTCAACAGATTCCTTCGGATGAGTTCCTTTGTGTTCGATTCCGGATATTTGAGCTTTTTCAAGTTGGGTTTCTGAGTCCTGCCACGTTCACGGTGTACGAATACCACAGGCCAGGTAATCCCTCTGACTCTCTTCAGGGGCCTTCCTCACGGTACTCGTTGCATCGCTCCTTTCGGGAGAAGCTCACTTACCTCCCCCATGTCTTCAGCCCCCCAGAATCGATCACTCCACCTTTGGTCTCATCACATTTTGCAGAGAGCTCCGTCATAGCCGTTGTCATGTTGTTCTCACCAAACCCAGACACAACGTTTTCATCCTTGTGCCCCTTCAGATCCAACACAGTGTTTGGTGCATAACGTGCATCGATAACTGTTGAATGAATGAATGACCCCCACCATTGGATCACTCGTCTTTTCTGAGAACACTACATGATCAGAAAGCTCTTTGGTCTGCAAGACAGATAGCTCCACTTTAGACAGTTCTACTTGTTAAAAAAGATTCTCGAAATGAACCAAACTCTCACACCCATTCATTCTAGTTTTATCTTCTGAAATCACACGGAACATACCTGGCCCCTCCTGCGCTGTTCTCTCCAGCCTGAACGATTACAGGCCTCTCTGTAGACGCTCATGTAACACAACCTGTCTCCTCTCATTCGCCGAAGCATCAAATATCTTGATTCTAAGAAATAAATATCGAACAGTAAAATTTCAAGCACAGAAGGGGAAATCACTTTGAGGGAGGGTTGAGGGGCCCACACCAGAAGAGACGAGTCACGATTTAACCTCCCTGCACCTAAGTCACAAAAAGAAGGGTTTGGAATAACTGACCTCCGAGGCCCCCTGGGAGAGACCCACTGAGCCATAAATGTGCTGTGTGCTAATCACGGCCCCGCTCCTAACGACGCTTTCATTGCCGCAGATAAGCAGTGCACCGTGTTCTATAGCCCATCCGGTTCCAAACTGCAGAAAGTCTGTGAAGGAGTAACGTGCAAATGCGTAGAAGGTAAAGTGCACGTAACACGTTCAGGCCGCCTGCTTGTGCAAAGACGCCGCTCGTCATCCGGGGCTAATGGGCCCACCGTCACGTCTCGGGAGCAGAGGCCTCCGCTGATTCCTTGGATGCTGTAGAGCTGCTCCTCAACAGCGTCTGAACACCCCGCTAGTCCCTACTGCCCACAGGCAGAGAAGCGCCAGCTAGACGAGTGTTGGACGGCCGAGGCCTAGCAGCGTGTGGAGCTGTCACGTTTCCCCGGGTCTGTTTAATGTGACAGGCCCAGGCCCCCGGTCTGAGAGAACAGACGCTCAGGACGGAGCCACTAGCTCCTTTCTTTGTCCTTTTCTCTTTATTGTTCAATTCCCTTCAGTTGTCTATAAATCCAAGGCCGTCTCCTTGGTCAAGGAAGAGACCCAGAACTCAGCAATGATCAACAACTGACTCCCTGAGGGTCTGGGTTGGTTCGGGGTTTACTTTGTTTTTCAAACACCATCGCATTTTCATGTTTCTCAGGTACTGATTGTACCAAGTTATAGCCAAGAATCAGTCCAGTTATCATTGTGGTTCCTTTAAGGGACTTTCAGCCATACTCAAAAATGGGAACTTTTCCTCCTTTCTTAATGGAAGCACATGAATATGGGGTGACTACCCATTCTAAGCCTCTTGTTTTTGTTTGTTTTGTTGCTTTACATAACGATTCACCTCATGGAAGAGGGAAAAATGGACAGGTCTTGGCACCTGGTATGTGTTAGGTCCTACTGGGTTGTCAGGGTTTATGCACACTGTGTTTGCTGCCAAAGGGAGTGTCTGCCTCTTTACGTTAATCTAACTTTTACCATTTTTCACAAAATCCAGCTGACTGCGGACAAATGCAGGCAGAATTGGATCTGACGATCTCTGCAGATGCGAGGAAAGAAACCGCCTGTAAACCAGATATTGCCTACGGTGAGTTCAAAATTTCTATATAGAGTTTTATTGAACATGAAATTTTATGAATGCGCGATCAGAGAGATCAGCAACTTTCCACAGTGAATTGGATCCTACGTTCCATGTGTTCCCTTGAAAGAAAACACCATGGATTTTCAGCATTAACCTGCAAGATTACCTGTCCTGCAGCAAAGGAATGTGACTTTCATTTGAAATGACAGGAGTGATGCACGCATGTAGCCAAGACACTTTACTCCAATAGATCCCATCAAATTAAACATGTCGAATTAAAATATATCCAAAGAGAACTTCTGAATCACTTCTCGGCCTTCTGGCTAAGATCAAGGGTAGTATCTGTTCTTGCCAGTTTAACATCTGATACATCCTCTGTCCGAGGACAATATATTAAATAGATTTTTGGGATTAGGAGATAGAGTAGGAGCGTGGGCCGTCCACTCCACGCATTGACCTGGTACTGCGGGACTTCCAGGAACGGTGCCCCCCCCCTCGGGGGAAATAAAGGTCGTGTAAGAGTAAAAAAAAATGAGAGAGAGAGAGAACTTTTGAGAGGCCACAAAGGTGTAAGATTTCATTCGAGCAGAGGCAGAGACAAAGGTGGTTGAGGGGCTTAGAATTTTTTTTGAAAAAAAAAATTTTTTTTTCAAAGACAAGGTAAAAATATCAACAATAAATCATTTTAGGGAGATCCCTGGGTGGCTCAGTGGTTTGGCGCCTGCCTTTGGCCCAGGGCACGATCCTGGAGTCCCGGGATAGAGTCCCAGGATCAAGTCCCAGGATCGAGTCCCGCGACCGAGTCCCGCGTCAGGCTCCCGGCATGGAGACTGCTTCTTCCTCCTCCTGTGTCTCTGCGCCCCCCCCTCTGTATCTATCTCAAATAAATAAATAAATCTTTAAAAAAATAAATAAATCATTTTAAACATATGCAAAATTGCCATCCTCCTCTTCAAAAGGAACATCTTCTGGTTGTTCAGAGCTAAGCCAAACGCCCAAGTGTGGTTGTAGTCCTCTTAAGTTCAGAGGATTCATTCCTTTGTCTTCTGTCCACGGTTTCTAATGTTTATTTCTGGCTTTTTTTTTTTTTGTAGAGAGGAAGAGAGCGTATTGTACACTATCTCAAACCTTTTAGTGTGTATTGAAAGTAGGGTATTATTTATAAAAGAAAGAGAAGTACCGTGAATTCAGCGCTGTGTGTCTACTGATTGTTTTCATATATGGTTTCTCACTGGGGTCCCACAAGACCTCTTTGAGGTAACAGAGAATCATCTATAGTTTGCCACGGAAGAAACTGAGGCTCGAGGAGATTAAATAATCTGTTCAAAGTCATGCAGGAAATAAGTAGTAAAACTAAGACTCATCGTGGTCTCCAGCATTACTTCCATTGCATTACACCGAACTCTCTTACTGGAAATACAGCCATCAGAATGAACTGGGTACGGCTTATTGTGTTGCCATAGACCTCATCTTGATATTTTAAAAAGGTTTTACTTAATTTTTTTTTGTTTTACTTAATTATTTGAGGGAGAGAGTGAGAAAGAGAGAGCACGTGAACAAGGGAGGGGAGGGGAGGGGCCGAGGCAGAGGGAGAAGCAGACGCCCCGCTGAGCAGGAGCCCAACCTGGGACCGGGTCCAGGACCCCGGGAGCTGACCTGAGTTGAAGGCAGACACTTAGCCGACTGAGCCGCCCAGGTGCCCCCTGATTTTCTTTAAAGAGGCTCAAAAGCTGCCTAACTCAGCCAAGACCCGCTGCAGTTTTTAAGATACATTGAGAATTGAACACTATGATGCTTTAATAAAAATTTCACTAAATTATTTATCTCCTCCATTTTAGAACTATTTTTAACTCTTAAATATCAGAAAAGTACTTTAACAGAGAACCAATGCCATCTGGATTTAGTTTATTACTTTCAAGAGAAGACTTGTCTGTGTTTTTTTGAAGTCCAGGGGTTGGTATTGGAATAATAAATAGAAATGAAAGAAAATAGTTCCCTCCCTCCTCTTAGGCGCATAGTAGGCATTACCCATACCCACCGCAGAGACTTATAAATCTGATAGTCAGGACATTTTAAAATCTGTTTTAACTACTAATTCATTTGGCCTTTGGTTCCGGCACAGCGAATTCATTCATTCCTCTTGCTAGCTAGGATCTCAAAAATGGGCAAATCTCTGAGGCCATTCACTCCAACCCCATCAAAAGCAAAAATGAGAGGAACTTTTCTTAGACTACACGGAAGGGATAGGTCCCTTCAAGGTGCTCAGTCCAAAACTGCGATCTAATACCGTGGATTAAAAATCGATGCCTGGATGAAAACAGGATAGAGAACGTCTCACGTCAGCTGCCAGTCCAAGCAAAGATGAGTCAAAACACGGAATCCTATCAAAATCCAAAGATCGAAGCCCTGGGGGGTATCCGCGGAGTCAAGGCGAGGGAACCCGAGGCCCACGGGCAGGCAGGACTGATGGATAAGGGCCCCCCCGTGGGCACGTTCCCCGTGGGCATGGCCGCTAACCCTAAAGGGCCCGAATCTGAGCTTCACGTCGGACGAGGCGTGTTTCGTCTGTCTAGCAGGCTTCGGTCCTTTAGTTTAATGCTGCTCTTCCCCTAGTCAGCCCGTCCTGTGACCGTGGCCGGGGCTGATCGCTGAGTGGAATGATCAGTAGAAGCAGATGGGGGTACTCAGGCTTTTGGAAGGTGTAAGAGTCACCTCGGGGGCCTGTAAGAGCGCGTGCTGGGTTTCATTTCTCATTTGTTCGATAAACTCCGGTTTCGCTGGACGTGGCGGCAGTGATGTTAAGCTTGCATCCCTGTGTTGTTTCTTCCACCAGCTTATAAAGTCCTTATCACATCCATCACTAAGGAAAATGTCTTCATTAAGTACGCTGCGACCCTCCTGGATGTCTACAAAGCTGGTAAGCATTCATTCGTTCACTCACTCATTCATTCATTCATTCCCTCAACAAATATTTAGTACTTACCAGCTACCATTATGTGAGGCATTATATTGATAGACTAGGCATTATATTAGACACAGAGAACACAGCTTGGATAACGCAGCCAGAGCCCTCGCCTTCATAAAATCAATATTCTGGGGCAGCCCGGGGGGGGGGGGGTCAGCGGTTTAGCTCCGCCTGCAGCCCGGGCGTGATCCTGGAGACGGGGATCAGTTCCGCACTGGGGTCCCCGCAGGGAGCCTGCTTCTCCCTCTGCCTCTGTCTCTGCCTCTCTCTGTGCCTCTCATGAATAAATAAGTAAAATCTTTAAAAAAAGAAAAGAAAAAATCAATATTCTGTTCAAGGAGACACATTCAAACAAAAAAAGAATAGGAACAAACAAACTAGACCTTTATCAATCGTAACAGGTAGACATGTAAGACACGTCATTCACTCATGTGAGAAACTCCTTCAGTGCGATATCAGCGTCCTTTAGGGGTGGCATTAGGAGTTAGCCATTTTCTTTCTTTTTTTTTTTTTTTGGATTTTATTGGTTCATGAGAGACACAGAGAGAGAGAGGCAGAGAAGCAGGCTCCCTGCGGGGACTCGATCCCGGGACCCGGGGTGACGGATGGCCTGGGCCGAAGGCAGCCGCTCCACCGCGGGGCCCCCCGGGGATCCCAGCTATTTTTAAAGGGATGGGGTGGAGAGGAAACCAAACATGCAAAGGCCCCGAGACAGCAGGTGACCTGGCACCATCAGGAGCTGAAGGAGCCCTGGGTGACGGAGACCGGGAGACACTGGTATGAGATGAAGCTGAGACATGGGCAGAAGCTGGGCCCCCCAGGGGTTTATAAGGCATGGCAAGAAATTCGGATTTTATTCTAGAAGTCCAAGGGGAAGCTATTTAATACAAGGTTTGAGGCAGGCAGGTGACATGATCTGTTTATGGTTTTGAAAGACCATCCTGGCTTCCCTGTGGGAGGGATCAGAGTAGAAGCCGGGAAACCAGGTCGGAGCATCTGTGAAGCGCAGAGTGGCGGGCTGGACGCCAGGTGAGGGTCAACGAGGCTTTTAATGACCAATACAATGAAATGAATTCATGTGGAAAATAACATATAAAACACTGTAAACTGTGTTCCTTTTTATTCTCTAATTAAACTAAGCTGTAAGTATTTCACAACTACTTGTCAAATTATATAAATGGTCACACAAAGGATTCCTTAAAGCATTCTAAGGATTCCAAATAAGTTTTCTTATTTTTTTTATTTTATTTATTTATGATAGTCACACACACAGAGAGAGAGAGAGAGAGAGAGAGAGAGAGGCAGAGACACAGGCAGAGGGAGAAGCAGGCTCCATGCACCGGGAGCCCGACGTGGGATTCGATCCCGGGTCTCCAGGATCACGCCCTGGGCCAAAGGCAGGCGCCAAACCGCTGGGCCACCCAGGATTCCCTTTATTTTTTATACAATTCCATTATTCTTTCTCTAATCTCTGAGCTTATTAAAGCTGAAATATATTTTCTTGAACATCTGAAGATGGTATTGACATAACTGCTAGACTATCATGAGCAAATCACCAACACATATCGATCCACTTTCTAAATATTTGCTCCTATCCCACAGCATGTATCGAAGTGAGCCAATCGGGCTTGGTAGGATTTCCAAACTGCCTTTGTGATGCTAGCACTACCAGCAGCCTGTCAAAACCCCAATATTTTTCCAGTTTTCATTATTGCGATTTTTAAAGCTTTTCCTATTATGACTTCCTTTGGCCTAGTGTCGTATTAGGTATGTTGTAGGAGACACTAAATTTATGAAGATAATATGTAAGGTGAGTTTTTGCTTGGCTCGCATCTATGTAGTGTCTAGAGACACTTGGTACCTGCTTGGTAGGTAATTCAGTTGATGCCAAATGGAATAGCTGGGAATTTCAGAATTTTTGCTGAAGCCTAGCTCCTCTCTAACATTCTATTTGCACCAATAAGGTGTTCACATAAATATTCCTCATTGACTCCTTTTCTCTCAAACAGTTTGATATGTTGCTCTGTTGTTGCTTCCAGTACCTTGAAATCAATAAAACCCAGTAAGTTATCTTCGAAGTTTCCATTTTTAAATTTCATGTGACTTTTATCACTTTTTATATTAAGTAGTCGATTTCTCAAGAACGATTGAAATTTTGTCACCTCACTTATATTTTCCAAAAAGTTGTGTTCTCATTTCAGTAGATAGAACTTTTGCAGTCAGTAGGACCGCAAGTCTACATTGTACCTTTATGTTTATACTGATTTTCTTCTCCTTTGAAATTCTTTCGAGTGTTTCAAGTATGAAAATGCTTGAGCATTTTTAGCCATAGACTAGAGTTAGCTTCTAATAAATGCTTTCCAAATCTACTTGCTTGATCAATACTCTGATAAAAAAGAATGTTTTTCTGCTTTTTATTATTTCAAATGTTTCACTGTATGAAATCGATTTGTGATGTTATTCTATTTTTTTCTCATTGATGATCACATTTTTTTTTAATCTGAACCATGATTGTCGCTCTGATGAAAACAGGTGGTTAGCACCCTGATCTTCTCACAGGGTGGGAAGCACCGTTTGCAACCAGCTTTTACATTCTAAGGGAGAATAAGCCATTCCTATTTTTACTGAAATAATCAAGTGCTCCTCATTCTGGGAATACAAATTATTTGTCTTATGTTGTACCAATTCTTGCATAGTATCAGAAGACACTCCAGGTTGTTCTGGAATATTTCACAGTATCAGATGATTTCCAAGCTGTAGTGTTTTTTTTTTTTATCAGTATCATTTCTTCTTTGTCCTCCTGTCTGTCCGGAAGATTCATATTTATGATGTTTAAAAGGAAATGTTAAGAGATTTTTGCATACTTCATTATCTCTTCATTCTGGGTGTTCATTTTTTAATATATATAAATTTTAAATTTATGTAAATATCAGAACACCACCTATTCACCACTTACCCAAGAATTGCTGCACACGAACAACAAGCCAAACTAAACACTAAACTATCCAGAGCAGAGGGCAACCATGCAGTTCAAGAATAATGATGAGCAAAAAATTAAAAAAAAAAAAAGAATAATGATGAGCTGATGTTTCCCCTAAAACACAGGGGGCTCAGAGTAAAGATGTAAATGGGGAAGAGGTCCGTGACGGTAGAAGCTGAGGTTAGTTACCTAGTCCCTCTTCTGAGTAGGCTGCAAATTTCCACAGCAAAAGGCTTTTGAAAATAATAGTAAGGCCCCAGCAGCGACACTGCTACCCTGACGGGGCCGAGCTGGTAAGCAGCGCTGGGGATGCAGCTTAGATCCTGCTGCCTGGGGAAGTCATGTCCTCACGGTCATCGGGGGAGAAACATCTACTACTACGTCTAGGTTCCGAAGTTTTTCAGGATTTAATGATTCGGATGACTCCGTCCGAGTTAAACAGCTGACCCCCAGGTCCGAGTCTATAGCCATGACTCAGGCCCAGGCCCCGCCTCAGGGAGTTCCCAGACACAGCTGCGTAGACGCCAACATTGTGACAGAAATCCAGGTAGGGTGGGAGGAAGGGAGAGACAGCGGTTTACCACGAAGAACATCTGGGGTGTTTGCTGGCGGCCTTGAGAGGTGCGGATGCACCCGGGTGCAGGGCAGCCCGGCCACAGGGGAGGGGATGCGTGCCCCGTACGGCAGCCTGCGTCCCGACTCCTCCCGGGTTCCTCCCCTGGGGGTCCCAGAGTTCCCCTCTTTCAAGTCCTCCAAGTCCTTTCACACACCCCTCGCGTCTACAAAGCCGGTCATTGCCAGCAACCAAATAACCTTTTCATCTTGTTATGTGACATTTGGGGATTAATGTTCAACCGTAGAGAAGGTCTTGCAATTCCCGGTTCTACGGGAAGAAGAAGTGCTTCCGGGGCGCTTCTCGGGCCTAGGCCGTCCTCACACGTTCACGGCCTCCGGCCTCCTACGGGACTCGTACGGGGTGGGTTTTAGCGTCGTTCCCACCTTCCGGATGCGAGGTCTGAGCCTTCACCCGTCCAGGGCCCCACAGCCAGCAAGGGGCAGCGAGCCTGGTTCCAGATCCCAGAGCCGTAACCGTAGGGACGCTGCCACTCTCCGGCAGCCGCTCGGCATCAACTTAGACCCCTCCGTCGCCAGCCGGAGGAACTGGAGTTGTTAAGGCGCTTGCGCTCACGGCGTCGTGACATGCATGTGACCGTCCACTTGTGTGTCTCCCAGGCGAGGCCGCTGCCCAGAAAGACTCTGAAATCACCTTCATTAAAAAGGCCACGTGTGCGAACGCTGAGCTGGAGAAAGGAAGACGCTATTTAATTATGGGTAAAGAAGCCCTCCAGATAAAACACAATTTCAGTTTCAAGTAAGTCCTGTTGGAGTCTCTGGTCTTCCCTTCCAAACCAGGCGTCATTTATTCTTAGTGACGTGTTTCCGCTGTGTCCTGCTGTCAACCAGCAGACCACCAGTTAGGAGCCCAAACGCAACGGTGTGAACTCACACTTGATCTAAGGCCCAGAAGCAGTGAAACACGCGAATTTAAGACAACGAACCACTCAAAACGCAGAGGGCGGCTGAGTGCTCACTGATCAATGAACCCCGGGGCCCGGGTCTGACGACGCTCGAGGGCGCTCATCCGACCCCCCCAACATCCGCCCCTCAGTAGGGTCTCAGACGACATGTTCTGTTTGTAAGAGAGAAGTGTTTATGCATTTTATTGTCTCTGTTTGAAGAATAGGGCTTGAAACAGATACCGTTCCTGCCTTTAATCGTGGGAGCCCCAAGCAGTTTCCTGGGGTTTGGGGGGTGTCCTCCCTGGGGGGGCGGTGAGCAGAGCCCGGCTGACCACGCGGCCGCGAGGGGCCTGAGCCGCCCCAACAGCCGGGGCTTCCGGGGCTTCCGGGGCTTCCGGGGCTTCCGGGGCTTCCGGGGCTTCCGGGGCCGTGGCCCCCTCTCCCCGCGGCCGCCGCCACGCTGCTCCATTGTCCTTTTTCTCGGCAGGTACATCTACCCCCTGGACTCCTCGACCTGGATTGAATACTGGCCTACGGCGGACGCCGCGTGCCCAGCCTGCCCGGCGTTCTTGGCCAATTTGGATGAGTTTGCCGAAGACATCTTTCTAAACGGCTGTGAAAACTCCTGAACTAGTTGAGCTATGCACAGTTTTCACCCTGGGCTCCTGCTGCTGAAGGGTCTTCCTTTCCTTCCTTCCTTTCTTCTCTTTTTCCTAAAAACCATTCACGGCTGGTCTTATTGGGAAAGCTCGCTTTCCTTAGAATTAGTGGCACTTGCTGTTATTAGGGGATGATTTTAAGAGCTGTAACTTTCGGAAATAACATGGCCTTGGGGGGCATGGAGACAGAGCCTCCTTCCAAGGTTATCGGACACCAGATGCAATAAAAATTGGAACGACTCCTAGACCCGCCACTCAGGAACGCTTGCTGGGGACGCAAGAGTAGCCCCACTGAAGTGTGGTTTCTTACCATTATGGCCTTTGCTTGAAAGAAAACACCAAGGAACAGAGAAGGGATCATTAAAACCTGACTTTGCGGGGATCCCTGGGTGGCGCAGCGGTTTGGCGCCTGCCTTTGGCCCAGGGCGCGATCCTGGAGACCCGGGATCGAATCCCACGTCGGGCTCCCGGTGCATGGAGCCTGCTTCTCCCTCTGCCTGTGTCTTTGCCTCTCTCTCTCTCTCTCTCTGTGTGTGACTAACATAAATAAATAAAAATCAAAAAAATAAAATATAAAATAAATAAAATAAAACCTGACTGCTTTCCGTGTGCAGAACCGGGGCGGGGGGGGGTGCTGTTATTTCACGCCGGGGCCGCTTCAACCCACCAGGAGGCGGGACGGGTGGACGGAGCCACAGCGCAGACCCGGGAGTCAGTGCCCTCAGCAAACAGACGGTGGGAGGCCCCTGCCCTCCAGTGGCCTCTCCTCACCCTCGTGGGGATCCCCCCGGGTCCCCCCAGCACCTGGCCATGCCCCCGGGACTTGCTCCGGTCAAGGATCGCCGCCCTGGAAGGCAGGCCGCGGGCAGCAACCTGGAGGAGAGGGACGGGTGGGAACGGGGAGACTGTTCTGGCCCCAACCAGGTCTCCGGGACCCGCCCGATTTGTAAAGACGTTGATTTTTAAGTGACATTTGGGGGTAGCTCTTTGATCTCACAAGGGAATCTTCACGTAGGGCCCCACTCAACGTGTCAAGACCCACCCCCCCCCCGAGGTGTGGGGCTGTCATGAGCCCGCTTTACGGACGGGGACGGGAGGCCGAGAAGGGCGCCGTTGCCCGCTTAGCGCAGCCGAGCCCGAGAGCGGCCCGTCGGCTCCGGGCACACACGCCCGTCTAGCACACGGTTACCCCGCGCCTGTCACTCGATGGTGGCCTCAGACCCAGGTGGGTGCAGGCTGGAGCCTCTCGCCGAGTTTATGCAGCTCCCGGGAGACCTCCCCAGGTGACCCACGGAGCAGCCCGGCTGTCAGGGCGACCGACCGAGGACAAGGCCGCGCACGGCCGAGGGGAGCGGCTGAGGCGTGCAGGGCCCTGGCAGCAGCGCGAGGTCTCCAGCTCCCGGGAGTGCGGATCTGTCCCTGTTCCCGTGGAAGCTCCCTCGGCAGGTGCAGCCCACGGCCCAGACTCTGCCCCGGCGGGGGCGGGGGGGGGGCAGGGGGTGGTTCCGCATCCTGATGGACCCGGCTCGCTGTCCGAGCTTGGGGCAGCCTTCGCGGTGGGTCCCCCGTGGCAGGGCTTCCAAACAGCGGCCAGACCCCGCGGCCGCGCCGCCGCCAATCCAGCCAATCCGTGACAGGCCCTGTGTCCCCGCGGCCTGGGAACTGGGGGCTGAACGCTCAAGGCCTCTCTGCTGCCCGAGGAAGACGTGGCCCCGCAGGCCGGGCCGGGGCGCTGGTGGCCTGGTGGCCTCGGGCAGGATGTGGCCTGGCAGCAGGGGAGGGGACTGACCCTCTGAGGTCCCGCGTGGAGGAGCGGCAGCCTCGCGCCGTCGGCCAGGAAGGGGGTGGCTGGTCATCTCGTGGTTCGGGCGACGTTCTTGTCCTATTTTCTGCTCAAACCTGATGCTGAAAGAGTCGTGTTCCCCGTCCTGACCCATCTGTCCAGTGCTGGCGCCGTGTCCCCCCGCGGCGCGGCCTCAACGGCAGCCCGGTCACCTCCGGGCCGCCCAGCAGGCTCATGGGCCCGGCGTGTCGCCCACACGGGGCACAGCCGTGTGCCCCGCCAGTACTGCAGAGGTCCGCGTGGACCCGCCCCGGGGCAGCCCCGCCAGACGCTCCCCACGCGCAGCTCGGCATGGGCCTCTCTGCTCCCACACACCTGGCCTGGGGGAGGGACGGGTGACGGAAGTGAAGGACGAGAGCCCTGCGGGTCCCCTCTGCCGCCAGGCCTGCACCCCAACACGGCCTCACCCCCCAACACGGCTGCTTCCCCACAGGCCCCCCACCACAGGATCCGTGTGCACCCCACACAGGCCTTGCAGGGACACTGCCCGCCTCCCCCTGCCTCGGCGTCACCTGTACACACCCACGTCCTCTCCAAGGCGCCAACCACAGGACGGGGGAGGGGGGTTCCAGGGGCACCGGGGGGTCGCCCAGCCATCTGCACCTGCTCTGCCTCCCAAAGCCTCCACTCTCACGCCTGTAAGCCAGGAGGCTAGTGGCCCCACTGCCGGGACCCCCGCGACACATGTAGGGAGCGACCAGCCGGGCCACGCAGGCGGCCTTCGGGGGAGCACCTGCGCCCAGGCCCCGGCCCCGCCACGCTGTGCGCCCTCGGTGGGGAGGCGGGCGGCTGGGCCCGAGCTTAGGGACCCATTCCACACCTTCCCTCGCCTGCACCATCGGGCCCCCTGCGCCCTGGGCTCTGGGGCAGTCACTGGCTTTGCTGTGATCACGGGGCACAGCCCGTGGGGAGTGGCCGTGAGGGCCTGACCGGGGTGGGCGTGGGGCGCAGCGAGGACCTCCGCACGACGTTAGGACGCGGCACAGTTTAAGCACAACTTGAGGAAGTCTCGCTGCAGGCCCCCCACCCCCTCAAAGGACGCGAACGTGCCGATGGACACCAGGCGTCCTCCCGCGGGCCCCACAGCTCGGGAGGTTCAGGCGCCCGGGAGCGCGGCGAGGGCTCGGCCACTTAGGCATCTCCTGACTCCGGCTCAGGTCCCGATGGGGCACCCTGGGTCCTGTCATCAGCCCCCTGCCCAGCTCCCCGCCGACGGCACAGGCCAGGAGGGCCCCCGGGGAGCCAGGGCCACCACCTGGCAGCAGCACCTGGCGTGTCCTCCCCTGCGTGCCCTCCACTCCCCGGGGGCTGGGCCCGACGGGAGGCTGCTCCTTCCTTATGTGCTGAGCGTGCAAATGAAAACGGCCCCTGGGGTGGCTGCAGTGTGTGCGTGTGTGAGACACGGGACGCGGTGGACGTGCTACCACGGGGCACCGAGACGGTGAGGACGTAGGACCTGCCGTGGTCGGGGACCTCCCCAATGCTCCTGAGGTCAGCAAGCCCCTCGCTGTGATCCTGTGAAGACGGAGCCGCGACATCAGCCAGGTGGGGGCTGCAGGGTTAGGAGCCGTGTCCACTGTCCCCCGCGTCGGGCCCTGCTCAGCGCGGAGCCTGCTTCTCCCGCCCTCCGCCCGCCGCTGTCCCGCTTGTACTCGCTCTCTCTGCATCAAACACATAACATCTTAAAGGAAAAAAAGGACAGACAGACAGACAGAAAGGCAGGTTCTCAGGCCTCACCCTGGCCCTGCTGAGCACAGGCTCTGAGCCGAGCCTAGAAACACACACTTTAAAGCGCTCTCTGGGGAGAGCCCGGCAGGCTAGGGGTGCCCGGTTGACCCCGCGGGCCCCGCGCCCAGGCCCTGCCCCCCCCCCGCCCTGGGGCCGCTGGTCCTCAGCAGGACAAGGCCTGGAGCCAGGTGGGGCCCTAGCAGGCCACCCTTCAGGGGATGGGGGGTGGGGAGGTCGGAGGCCCAAGAGGCCACGGCGGGGACCGCAGGCCGCCCTCGCAGGGCGCTGGCAGACGTGCCCAGGGCACATCCCGGCACCTGGGAGACCCGTTTGCCTGCCAAGCGCTGCCCAGTTGTTAGGCGTCTCTCGTGTCTTTTCCACCCGTGACTCTGAATGCACTAGCAACCCCGTGAGGCGGCGCTACTGCCACGGTACAGAGGAGTAAACCGGGGAACAGAGAGGCTGAACCCCAACACCCCCCCCCGGGAGCGCTGAGCCCGCAGGTGGTGGAGCCCGGATTCAGGACTCTGGACTGTTCTGCCCCAGGGGTGGTTCCCGCCATCAGGAAGCCGGCAGCCCCCCTAGGAATGCAGGCTCCGACCCGCAGCGGTGCCCACGCGTCCCGAGTCGTCAGCGCCACTGACCGACCTGGATGGGGCACCCGGGGGCGCCGAGCGGCTGTGCGTGCAGCCGCGAGGACAGGCCTGCATTTCCGGAGCTTCTGCAGAGACGCACCTGAAGCTCCGACCCCGTAACCTAGGCAGAGGCGCTCCAGTCCGGAGCCGATCCTGGCCCAAGCCCCTCTGTGTCTGCGGCTGGCACAGCCTCCCTGCCTCCCAGCTGGCCTCCGGGACTCGGCCTCAACCCGGGAAGAGCTCCCCGGTCGCCCCAGCTCCCGCGGCCACACCGCGTTGGCGCAGCAGGTGGGCCGACCAGGCCGCTGACCTCGGGACGGGCGCCCGGAGGACGGGGACGCCTGAGCCCCGTGGCAGCAGCTCTAACCCGCCGCTCGGGTCTCTAACCGCCACGCCCCCTCCCCCAGGCCAGACGCTCCCTCGGCCCCTGGGGTTCGAAAGGTCGCCTAAGAAATGAAACCTGACCTCACAGCTTCACAAACCACGTGGACAACAGGCGTCAAGACCCAAAGTGGGTGTGTGTCCCCTGTTCCTCCTGTTGGTTATTTAGAAAAAATTTCCAGGGGCGCCTGGGCGGCTCAGCGGTTGAGGCTCAGGTTGTGATCCCAGGTCCTGGGTTCGAGTCCCACGTCGGGCTCCCTGCATGGAGCCTGCTTCTCCCTCTGCCTGTGTCTCTGCCTCTCTCTGTGTCTCCAATGAATAAATAAATAAAATCTTTATTTAAAAAATGCATAGAATAAATTTCCAAAAGGGCGGAGGTGGGGGGTGGAGCAGAGTAGGGCTCACAAACAAAGATCTTCCGGGCAGGATTAATTATTCATTTAATAAATATTTATTGAATTCCTCCCGTGTTCCGGACACGGTCCTAGATGGTGTGACCAAGGTAAACAAGGTCCCCTGCTCTCCGAGGAACTGCGTTGTAACTGTGGCAAAAGGCAATAAATACCTACAGAAATGAGAAAAAATAACCTCTTTACAAAATTCTTTGCAGAGAAATAAAGTCAGGGTGTGTGGTGGGGAACAACCGGTGGCTGCTCCTGACCAGGGGGTCGCAGGGTCTCCGAGTGTCGGTCAGTAAGATGACCTTAAGCTGCCCTTCGCCTCCTGACCAGGAGCAGCTCGGAGAGGGCATTCCAGGGAGAGGCCGTGGTCCGGGACACAGGGGGCCGATCAAAGAACCCGAGGGACTGGATCGGAAGTTAACTGGGGGGGGGGCAGGGAGGTGGGGGCAGGGGGCAGGGGGGCAGGGGGCGGATCCCTAGAACACTCTTTGTGCTTCGTGTAGGCGAGAGTGTGAGACCAGGCAGGTGAGGGAGGCCGGGAGCCACTGAGCTCTTGCAGCTGGTGTCACCAAGTGATGGTGGCTTGAACTAGTGGGGACGCGG